GTATACATTGGACATCCTCGCTGATTCTGGCTATTTGGGGTCACGACCTGCCACCTTTCCCATGGATCCTAATTTGAAACTTTCTCCTGATGATGGCACACTTCTCTCTTATCCAAGTTCTTACCGACGGTTAGTAGGTCGTCTCCTATATCTCACTATCACTCGACCAGACATCTCCTTCTCTGTTAATATGTTGAGTACATACATGCAAAACCCTCGAGATTCCCATTACGAAGCTGCCCTTCATGTTCTGCGTTACCTGAAGGGCTCTCCAGGACATGGACTATTTTATTCTGCTCAATGTGATCTCCAACTTTCTGCATACTCAGATTCCGATTGGGCCAGCTGTCCTACCACTCGTCGCTCAACGACTGGTTTTTTCATTCTTCTTGGAGCAAGTCCCATCTCATGGCGCACAAAAAAACAGGCTGTTGTTTCCCGTTCGTCTGCTGAAGCTGAATACCGTGCCATGGCTATCACCACATGTGAGCTTGTCTGGCTCAAATCTCTTCTGCGTGATCTTGCTGTTCTCCATCCGCAACGTATTTTGCTCTACTGTGATAACGAGGCTGCTCTCCATATCACTCGCAACCCTGTTTTTCATGAACGCACCAAACATAATGAAATTGATTGTCATTTTGTGCGTGAGAAATTTTTGTCTGGGCTCCTTTCTCCTACGCATGTCTCCTCCAAGCTCCAACTGGCTGACATTCTCACAAAGGCTCTTGGGAAGGATCTATTTCAACATTTCACTCGCAAGTTGGGCATTACGGACCTTCATGCTCCAACTTGAGGGGGAGTATTACAATATATTACCATAATCAGAGATATGATTTCCTCTGTCAAATATATTGTATCTTTTCATTCCTAGATTAGTTCTGTTTACCATAATAGCAAATCTCACATATATTATAAATACCAACATGTAGTGAATCATATATTAATGAGAATTATTTGGTAAGGTTATGGATTTAGATTGATACCATGTGGGCATTGAGCTTTTTCTTCGAAAATTGAGCTTCGTTGCCAGAGTAGAGTGAGCAAGGAATGCCATAATGGCAGATCATTAAGTGGAATCAAGAAGTTAGTAAAGACCAAAGAGGGGTGGTTGATTGAGATATGAAGGCGTCGATGACCGTGCTTTGAAGATAACGAAAGATAAAGTTCTTTGCTACTTACCAACCCGGCCCATCTGTTTTTTATGATTCATAAATCTTGGGACCATTAATAGAGCATCTTAGGCTTCTAAGAGCATTTTCAATTGATTATCTACTTTTCAAGAACATATTTTATAATTTAGAGAATATTTATAAATTTAGAGAATAAAAGTTTTTAAGTACTTCAATAGACTCTTTATATTTAATATTTAATTTTACTACTCTCAAAAAATATATATTGTTTTTTCATATCTTTTATTTTCACCAGTTTCCTTCCAAATTATTATGTTATTTTTCTCCATTGAAAATTAAAATAGTTCGAATGTACTTAATTATAAAGAGTGGATTTGGTTTTTCAAATTTGGAGATTCAAACTCACTCCCTAATTTAAAGAGTTTCTTGGAGCACAATTTTAAGGGACGACTCTTTAAAATAGAGAGCTTAAAGAGTTTTTTTGGAGGGGTTAAGATCCGATGTTCACTATCCAATTTGCAATTGCAAATTAACACATAATAAAAAATTAAAGTTATCATCAATTTTAATTTTCCATGATATGTCAATTTGTAATTGGGTAGACAGCAAATTAAACAGAATATTTCAACTTATCTTGAAGATGCTCTAACCAAGATTTTTTTTCCCCCTCTTTTAGTTTGTGGAGATAATGGGCATTAATAATTCCAATATCAAATGTGACTAATTATTGTCTTAATTATGGAAATTAGAATATGGAAATGTTTATGTTAATGAGAAAGTTGGCGTTGATTGGTGAAATTGGTGATTATGAATGTTATCTTGAACATTAAATGTTCATATGGTACTTGCATAGAGACGGATTAAACTACTTCTAGACATGTACACCTTGGTTGACACCACCTTATCTGTCAAAATTTGAGAAAAATGTGTTTTTAAGATCAATGTACCAAAATCTGTCACTCACATGAGTATAAACCATTGTGTCAACATTTATGTGTATGTAGCATAGTCCAATATGTATAGAGATGTAAAAAAGGATCCGATCATTTCATGAACAATCTTGATAAGTCTATGCATAGAAAGGCTTGGTTGGTCATGTCGCCCTTATCGTCTAAAAGTAGAGAAATTAGAAGAAATTGGGGAAAAAAAAAGTGATCTATCAATAAGGGTGCTTGTATACAAAACATTACTCTCTTTATTTTCCTGTTTAGTTTGGTTAAAAAATTCAATAAAAATTTGCGTCATTGTCAACAATTGATTTTTATCATATATTTCATGAAAACTACATCTTTTCAAAAAGAAAAATGCTATTCATCCCCAGTGGGGATGCATCCCCAATCTATGTGGATGTGAATGATTAGTTAAATGATTGGTGAAATTAAATGACTTATTTAATTTCACCTATCATTTCATGTCACATTAACGCCACATAGATTGGGGATGAATAGCATTTCCCTTTCAAAAATTAAGCGCATGTTTGATCCCTANGATGAATAACATTTTTCTTTCAAAAATAAAATTTATCAACTCCTATCAGAATCTACTAAAAATTTTATTTTTATCTAAACTAAACAAGGACTATATAGTTTTTAACCTATTCTAACTTAAGTCAGAAACACAATATAGATATCAAAATTAAAGAGTCTCAAAATATAAAACTATAATAAATTTAAATCGAAGTAACATCTAAAAGATTATTGTGGAAATTAACTTTTCAAATTATAAAGTTTAGGCTCTCTAACACTTGGCATCTTTGAATTTTCTCTTTATTTTTCTTTTGTAACATTCACATGATCCAGAACTTCAAACCACATGGATCTTGTGATTTGTGGGTTATGATGATAGTAGTTATTATGTTTGATATATATTACTCCCAGTCGCAGTGACTCCTTCCAGCAAAATTGTAGAGAATGCATCTATTGTTTTTTTATTTTCATTTACTTTTTTTTTTAAAATATATTTCTATAGTCCAATTTGTTGATTATTTGTTAAATTTACAACGTTGGTGATAAACATGGTTCACTGGAGTTATTATGTGATAAAAAAAAAAAATGAAACACAAGTAAATAAGTCAGACAAGTTAAAATAAAGATATAATAATCTTTTAATCAAAATCTTTCTTTTCTAAGTGTTTAGACGAAAACTATCTGGTATGAACTCAACACCTATCTGGCAAGAAATATAAACAGGAGACATAATCATAAATGTCAAGAAAAGTAGAAATTAGTAGTCGGGGTCCCTTGAGAATGCAAAAATTCTACTGCTCATAAATCGATGACCCAATAACACCAAGAGAAAAAGACCGTAAATGGAAATAATCTATTGAATTATGTTGAAGTGCCCGAAAATGGATGACCGATGGGGTGACCGACCCTCACATTGCACGTNATAAAATAAAATAAATCTCAAAAGTAAGTCTGCCCATGCGTTAATGGATTCCATATCTGCGTCCGCATAATAAGATAACGGTACAAATGTTTGACCGGGACAAACTCTATATTCAATCCACCATAATCAACATCAATTTAGGGAGTATGCAATGAAAGGTGTAATACACAAATACATGTACTGTAGAATATTGTTATTCATTTGATTCTCATTAACAGATCCACTCTATATTCATTTTGATTTTTTTTTCCTTCTGATATATAAACAGAAATAGGCCCAATGATATATTGTTATGGGCTCCATTCGAGCAAAATTGTGCTTATAAACATAGATATACTGTATACATTATTAGGGGGGAATATTATATATAGGGGGCATATTCACTCTTTTTTTTTTAAACGTGTTACTTAAACAAAAAAAAAAAAAAAAAANAAAAAAAAAAAAAAAAAAAAAAGTTTGTTGTATATCATCATTTACGAATTATTTTACAAATTGATGAGGTGACAATAAAGTGAATTAAAATTGCTAAAGTGTGTTCAGCCTTAAACGATCATTCTTATGTAATGTGGGTTATTGACAATAACAGATTGAGTTTTTTTTTTTGGTTGGTGAGTTTTTTTGCTCAATTAAATATCGTCTCGTCGCCTGTTGATAAACAAATCCGTAAATTAAGATATACACATAACATAATCGTACAAAAATATGATAATGTAACAAACTTATTATACTTCTGTAACATACGTAACACACTATGTAGCATGTGCAATTACGAGCCTACCAAGTGTAATATATTGTGTCATGTTGACCTCCTCCAACACGATTACAATCACTCGATCCAACCCTAGTCCTCTGTTATCACCACCACCACTATCACCTTGCACCACTGTTTAAAGTATACTTTTCTTGTAAATAAGCTTTTATCACATTATACCTCTCGAAATAATGTAGTTTCCATTTAAATTTTAGTGATTTCCAAGTCATTAGACTTCAATTTTTGATTCGCGTACTTAGCTGGACGTAAATTGTTTAAAAATTCTATTAAACAATCATGTGCACACCCTTTTCGAGGATATTTTGGCCATCCACCTCTATTTCTTTAAAAACAAATAGAAAAAAGGAAAAAGAAAAAGGAATAGATATTTATGTCTAAAAGGACCTACATGCTCTAAAAATTAAAGTTTAATATCTAAATAAAACGAAAATTTGAATGAGGACTCAGGTGCTATGAGAAGTTTAGCTTGGAGACTGCAGATGCAAATTTGAGGGGGAAAATGGATCGGTTTTCCGGGTTGTGATCCTCTGTACTTCATGAACCGACAAGAAAATCGACACCTCAAACTATTCACCCTCAGCTCCAAATTCTCTCTCTCACACTGAGCGTGAGATCTTTCGATCTGGCTCCGTACAGAAATGTCCTTGACAAATCAACTCTTTCTCCCCAATTAATCAAATCCTATACTTGTTACACAAAAAGGCAAAGAAATGGCAGGATCTATGAACACGCGAGCGTTTGATTGGAAGACGAGTCAGACAATAATGTTGGTCGTTCTAGTAATGATAGCATCCTTTTACACCGGCTCTCTTTTTGGCAATAAATCTTCTTCCTTACACGTGCAACTACAACAGCCAGACGTACAACACCAGGATGTCAATAATTTATCAGTTTCTGGTTAGTGCGGTTATGAATTTCTTCCATTAAAATGTTCTATTACTGTATTACGGATTTCTAATTACCACAGTAAAAAGTTTCATCTAGTTAAGAAAATGGATTAGTTTTTTTAGGTTGATGTTAATGTTTAGTAATTAATACTTGATATTATGGGGTTTCTCGTTTATGATATATTGAGGAGTACTAAATAGTAAATACTGTCTATCATTGAATTGGAAAGATAATTCGAGCTTCGTTATGTGGAGTGGAAAGTTTACCAGAAACGGCAAGCTCAGTAAAGTGCGTTTCTTTTCTTAAATAAACGCACTACTATAATGCATATTAACTATTCTACTAGTATTCGATTTGGGTCTAGCAGTTGAGAAAAATACGTTCATTTGATATTTACAACTTTGAATGTTTAGTGGCAAATCTTTAAAAAGCCGGGTTTTCGTATATGATCAGGTTGGGGAGTACTAAATATCATTGCATTTAGATATAATTCGTGCTCAGTTATGTGGAATGTGGAATTCTCAGAAATGTGCAGGCTTAGCAAATGAATTTGTTAGAATAAAAATTTTAAATTTATTATAGTTATGTGGTTTTTGAAAAGCTTGAATATTTGCTCGCATTGTTTCTTCAATGAATGAATAGTTATACACAGATGCAGAATAGCTCATATATCCAGCCCAGTTCAGATTGAGCACTTTCCAGTTTCCAGCACTTAGCTGCTTAAAATTTGTTTGTAGAGGTTGATAGTTGGAAAATGTCAGCTTTCAGTGGGCTGTGCTCCTAACAGATCTTGGTTTTTGGTGTGTGGATTTTCATCGAAATTCCTTTTGTATTTCATTTTTATGTCATTATTTTTATGCTTGCAGGTACTTCCAAATTTACAAATAAAGTAGCTCTCACTTATCGGACAGTTCCAATTACGATCCCGAAAACTGGGATGAATGTATGCCCCTTGTCGTATAATGAGTACATTCCATGTCATGATATTTCTTACAATAAGGAATTGCGACCAAAATTAGATCTTTCTAGAAAAGAAGAGCTGGAGAGGCATTGTCCTCCACTAAGTAGGCGCTTATTTTGTTTGGTGCCACCACCAGCTGATTATAAGTTGCCAATAAGGTGGCCTACTAGTAAGGACTACGTCTGGCGAAGCAATGTGAATCATACGCGCCTCGCTGAGGTAAAAGGAGGGCAAAATTGGGTTCATGAAAAAGATCAACTTTGGTGGTTTCCTGGTGGCGGTACTCATTTCAAGCATGGAGCCACTGAGTACATTGAGAGGTATATTTGGATTTTACTTCTTTTGATGATTATTGAAAAAAGGTGTTATGTTGAAGTATATGAGATGCCGTTCCCAGTCTTTAACATTTTACCTCAGATTTTTAAAATAAATTGTCATAGTGGATGTATGAAGAAAAGTTATGGGCAACTTTAAGCCATTGTCCTTGTAATATTTCCAAAATTAGCCATTGTTATACATTTTGCCCCAATCAGAGTAGCCAAACTTACGATAATTTCAATTAGTGTTCTCAAGTTTGCAGCTTCACCTATTATTTGGAACATTTGGAAGGATAGCACTACTGTACCAACAGTATTAGATAATCTGCTAGATTTGCCTTAAGATGAGTACACTTAGCAATTTATTTTGTCAGAATAAAAACCCATTTTCTTTATTCCATAAGCTTCAGTTATAAGCTTTTTTAGGATCTGATGTCATGTTGTCATTCTACTTTTTGCGACTGTTTTAATCTCTAGATAAAGCTGGTACAAATTTTCATTCCGTTCAGTTAATTTCTGAATATGCTTAATCAAGTTTTCCTGTGATAGTCAAATATGTTGTTTATTTGGAGGACGGTGGAAAGGATGAACTTATATGTAGATGTAATTAGGAACATGGAAAAAAAAAGTAGAATCAAAATTACTTTATGGCGAGGAGAAAAGTTTAACCTGTGAAGTCACCTATAATTTCTCATAACAACAGTTTAATTTACACTTGAAATATCAGACATGCACCTTAGTCAAGTGGTTTTGTAGTGTTCTTGTACTATTAGTTAATAATCTCAAAAAATAGGAATAAGTAAATAAATATTGATTGTTCAAGGTAGTTTCATACATATTATAGTTACCAGTTGACTGTGATTACACTATCTGTTACTCAACAAACTACTACAGTATGTTTTATAAGATCATTAATTAACATTGAAGGGGGTGGGGGTGGGGGTGGTGTATGTTAGTCCAATCATGTTACGTGACAAGCTCTATTCAGGGCAACACAATGGTTATGGTTATTCTTGGGGGTAATAAAAAACAATACTGCCATGATTTTACCTGAGTAAATCTTATTCGCTCTCGGAGCATCTTGATCTATGTTTCATCCTCTGAATTAATTACCTTTGCCATGTAGTTTCTTGTAAAGTAGCCAAGTTATGCTGCCCTTTGATCTAATGAGTTTCATTTCCTTTTGTTTAGTTCATAATTTTGTAAAGCTGTTCTGTGACTCTGTCTACCTATTACATAAGTGGTGCATCACTCTACGTATTATTATTCTAACTCATCATGGAAACCTATGCACTACTCTAGAATATTTTGCCTTGATGAATTCAGTTGTCAATCATCCTTAGCTCTTACCTATAAGGTTTCAAATTTAGCATCCAACTCTCTTAGGTTTATATTATTGAGTTTCTAGAATTGTATACATATTAGTGACGCCTAAATTTTTCTTTTTGTTTCAATCCCACAAAACCAAACCTCATCCCATGTATGAAAACAAGAACTTTACTTCAACTCACACTACAATAATGTGCGGGTTTCCCTCTTGTAAGTTTATAGAATTAAAAGGATAAAAACAGGAATAAGAAGCTGGAAGTGAAAGGAGTGCTTTTTGACGTTAATAGAGTTAATATTTATGTGTTCTAGACACACACCCGTGCTTATGCACATATTTCTTCTGTTCAAGATGAACCGTTCACGTTTTTTGACTTTTGAGTGAACATGATGTATTTGGTGACCTGAGATACAGTTGCTACATCTTTGAAATTTATCAGGTAACCAAAGAGGTTGTTGGGTTGATGTCTGAAAGAGTCCTGAAGTAGCTGCACATTTTTTACAGAATGTTTGATTTTAACTTTGGCCTATTTTGAACCATAATTTCTTCATCTAAGTCTGTAATGCTTCCTTTGACAAGTCTTGGCAACTCCTTTAACAATGTGAACTCTATTGTCTTTTTAGGTCCAGGTAATGTGTCTAATCAATGTTGCATGTGCTGCTTCTGCAGGATAGGAAATATGATGACTAGTAAGACGGGTAACCTCCATTCTGCAGGGGTATATCAAGTATTAGATGTTGGTTGCGGGGTAGCTAGTTTCTCAGCCTATCTTCTTCCTTTGAATATTCAAACTATGTCTTTTGCTCCCAAAGATGGCCATGAAAATCAAATTCAGTTTGCTTTAGAACGAGGAATTGGAGCAATGATTTCAGCTTTAGCCACAAAACAGCTACCATATCCCACTAGCTCTTTTGAAATGGTCCATTGTTCTAGATGTCGTGTTGATTGGCACGAGAATGGTTAGTCTTCCTATCCTTGCAGATTATAGTATAGATTGCATTTTAGACAAGATAATATCTCGAGCATTTTGCTCCACGTCCATATTTTTATTTGAGAAAACTCTTTCTGAATATGTTAAGCAGAAACAACTCAAAACTTCATGAATATATGTGTAGTTTTGTATACCTTTTATTATGGAACTTAAGCAATTTTTTGGATGCAATTTTTTGGATACAGATTAGCATGAAGTGAATAGCGTCTCTGCCGTGTTTAAGATATTTGTAGTTTCGAAATAAACAACTCAAAAGAGAGAAAGGTTTATCATACTTGTCAGTAGAATATCAACTTATCCTCTTTCTTTTGGGTGCAGATGGCATTCTAATTAAAGAGATTGATCGCCTATTGCGAACCAATGGATATTTTGTCTACTCTGCTCCACCCGCTTACAGGAAAGATAAAGATTTCCCAGCGATTTGGGACAAGTTGATGAATCTGACTTCTGCAATGTGCTGGAAACTCATTGCTAGGGAAGTGCAGACAGCAATCTGGACTAAGCCAGAGAACAACTCATGTCTTCAGCACAATGCACAGGAGAAGCTTCTAAGCTTATGTGACTCTGTAGATGATTCTAAACCCTCATGGAAAACATCTTTGAGGAACTGTATAACTCGACATGCTTCTCAGGCTCTGCCTCCCAGGCCACAGCGTCTTTCAGAATATTCTAAAACTCTCAATAACCTTGGTATGTAACTGAAAGCTTTTCCTTTTCTGGCAATGTGAGCCCATTTCTCTAATTAATTTTAGCTAGTATGTTGTCATTGAACTCCTATAGAGTAATTTTGATCGCTGCTTCTTTTTATGGCTAGACTTCATAATTTGGTGATTATTGGAAAGGTGGAAATTGTTTACTCACTGAATTGCATGAGAAAATCTGAAACATATTAAAGTAAATTTTTTTACTGGTGAAGAGGATTTCAAATTTCTTTTGGATATTCATTTATATAGAAGTAGATTATCTGATGGAGAGAGTGTTCCATTTTTCCTAATAGAAAGGGAATGTCAAAGCTTGTCATGAATTTACATATAATGAAGATTCATTACATGCTGGAAACAGTATGCGTTCCCTTAAAACCATGTGCTCCAGTCGTGTTTCTGCAGCGGCTAAACATTTCAATCACGATTTTATATTCAAACTCCTCCTCGGCTACCGTTTTCAGTTATAGAGATAAAGAAAAGAGTTGTAGCTAATCAACTTGTTCAGCTTGTTATTTCCCTCTGCAGTCTGCAAACAATCATACGTTTCATGTGGTATACTGGATTGATTGCTTATTTGCTAGTAGATCACATTGTAATTTTAGATTTCCTCTACAATTTGTGATTTTTCATGTGCGTTAAGTCTTGTACTCATTGGTATTACTTAGCGTATCATTATATCATATAATTGGTGCAGGTATCAGTCGAGAAAAGTTCTTATCAGATACAATCTACTGGCAGGATCAAGTTCGTCACTACTGGAGGCTGATGGATGTTGAAGAGAATGAAGTTAGGAATGTCATAGACATGAGTGCTTTCCTTGGTGGATTTGCAGTTGCTTTGAGTACATGGCCTGTTTGGGTCATGAATGTAGTACCTGCAAACACAGTGAATACCTTATCTGCTATTTATGACCGGGGTCTGATTGGCGCCTTTCATGACTGGTAAGCTTCAGATTATAACTCGTCTATGCTTCGCAACCATTGAGGAACATGACACGATGTTGTTTTGGAATCTGAAGGTGTGAACCTTTCTCAACATACCCACGCTCGTATGATTTGTTGCATGCCAACCATCTTTTCTCTGACTATAAAAATCAGGAAGAAGGTTGCTTACTAGAGGACATCATGCTGGAGATGGATCGAATTTTACGTCCTCGGGTAAATAATTATTGGAACTCTCAGTTTTATGCTTATAGCCATCAGCAAATAATAAAACAATTGTCATCTAGGTTGTATCATAATTAAACACACCTTAAAGCTGTTGATTCTACAAGACATTAGAGAAATGCAACAAAACCTAACCTATTGAAACATTCATCTGAAGCAAATATTGCTTTGGTGTTGGAAAGAATCGAATAAAAAAGTGAATTTGTTTTTGTGCTGCCGAACCTTTTTGAGTCTCATCCCAAGCAGGGTCACTTCGAACTTTTATTATTCTCCCGGTCTCCTGCTCTTGTTACCTCTGGCTGAGATCCCTCGTCTTGTGGTTGCAGAAGTAGTGTAGACGATAGGTTATGTCTAAAGTGAAGAAGAGGTAGAATTGAAAAGAAGGTGACATGGAAATGTGGAAAATGGGTTAGAGGGAATGTTGGGAGGGAACAGAAAGTAGGTGGAAAGTGTACATATTTATTTCATCTCACAAAATTATTAACCTCTATTGCATGGACACTTCAACTAGAGTAGCGTGTCTATGTCTATGTCTGACACTTGTTGGATACAACACTCTTTGGACAATCTACCATGGTCATTTTTTTCTTTATCAGAAATATTATATACCTTTAACTTAAAGTTATTATTAAATAATAAATAATTACTCACATTTAAAATATTTCAATAAGAAAAATTAATAAAAAGTAAAAAATTAAATTTATATTATATAAATGAAGAATTTAAAAAAATTTAATCAACATGTCGGTGACATGGCTTTTTAGTAGCGTGTCCGACATGCGCATGTCTCTGTCATTGCATCATAGCTATTAACAAAGATTCAAAAACTGGTTTATGTCAACACTTTCCCCCTGCCGTTTCAAATAATGGCTAGATAACAATTTTCCTTCAACTCTATTCCTGTCTACCAAACACATCTTTTAGCTTCCAAAAACATATGTTATGGAGGCCAAACAATTTCTCAGGTGTGGCCTCCCGTGAGACCACGTTCTTAATTTTACAACTTCCAATTGGGTGCCTTCGAATTTTGCTACTGACGTGGATGGAAAATGTGCTGAACATGTAAGAAAACAATGTTGTGGTAACTCCCTCGTGCTTGTGCACCTTAGTAGTACTCTCAGCTGAGGATTATCCTAGAAGGAAATGTAACAGAAATATATGTGCTGAACATGTAAGAAAACAATGTTGTGGTAACTCCCTCGTGCTTGTGCACCTTAGCAGTACTCTCAGCTGAGGATTATCCTAGAAGGAAATGTAACAGAAATATATATATATTTTTTGGATAACCGTGGATATCCGGACTAGTTTGCGCACACCTCGACTAACTGTGTAATACAAGGCATTGTACTTATGCTTTGGAGGGACGGCAGATCCTCATGCAATTAGAAGTGAACTGAGTTCAACCTAAAAGGAATTTTGCCTTGCATGTCATCCATGTAATCAATTTTTTTATGGCAGACTACTGTTGGGCAGTTTCCTCAACCCCCTGCGCCCGCTCCCCAATATACACCCGCACACGTCAAACCCCATTCTGACCTTTGGAGGTTTAAATGTAACTAGTCCAGGTTTTTCCTTCAATATTACAAATAAAAATCTCATGAATGTTGATGTGCAGGGATACATTATTATCAGAGGTGAAATTGAACCACTTATTAATAGGATAGTAGATCTTGCTCCCAAGTTCCTTTGGGATACCCAGTTGCATTTTCTGGAAGATGATCAGAAGAAAATGGAACCAGTCTTATTTTGCAGAAAGAAGTTCTGGTCCATCGTGTGAGGCATTCGCATGCTGTGAATACATGTATATATGTGTCCGACTAGCAACTTGCTACTTGTATCATGACGCAGATGGATTTCGTCTTCCTTTGTACACCTTCTATATTTACTTGTTGAACTTTTCAAAAATGAAGAAATCATGATTGCTTTTTTGCAACTCCATTACTTCGTAAATTCATAGATGAAGCTTTTCATTTTAGTGGATTACTCAAAATAGAGGTTCTTGAATTCATTGCTGTCTTTGTAGGCTGTAGCAACAAAATTTTAATCTTTTGTAACGCCTAATCGAAAAGCATAGAAATCATAAATTCTTTTCGATTTCAGTGAGTCTCTCATCCTTTCTTTGTTTTATGGATGATTATTCGAACAAGTATGCAAGCGTCGAAGACCTAAACTCGTTATTGTACCACATGTAAACTATTGTGTATCAAAAGTTTTTCTTTTTATTTCCTTGTATTATTTCAGTGCGTGGCATCATGTTCTCTTGACCATAATTAGTAAGATAAGATCAGGGAATATAATCGACCTTCTTTTATGTTTATTCCACCGAAAAGTTGCTTCTTGTTCCCACTGCTTTTGCATTGTCACGAGTTTCCTTGAAAGTTCTATTCTTCCATCTTCAACAAGCAAAGAATCCAACAACAAAAAGTAATGTGCAAAGTTTTTATTATCGACTTTAAAACGAGTTTTCATATATTCTTTTTCTATTGACGAGAGGTGAAAAGCATAACGCTTACTTTATGCTACGTGTAAAGACGTATAGTATGTCAATGTGAACATATTGAATTATCTAGTAACAATTAATAATTTTCACTGGTGTATTTATAAAAATACATTCTGTGAGTATAAACCACCCAAGTGTGAATCCCTGCATTAAAAAAGGGTCTTTTTTTTTCAAAGTTTTCCTGTGGGTGTGTGTATATATATACACTGCAGGTCCTGATTAGCATTAAACATCCAAAGATTCTTAACTGCCCTCTCAGCCTGACGAATTTGTGCTGTTCATCTTCCAAAATGCAAAACCCATCAAACCAACCTCCTCCAGGTCTCTCTTTCTCTCTAATCTCTACACACACATGTATGCTCTTTAATGAACTTAGGCTCTGTCTGGTAAGGCTTTGAAAAGTCGAAAATGTTCTAAACATGAGTCGGATTAGAAGGGATTTTAGAGAAAATTTGTTCTTCTAAAAGAAGCAGAATCCATGTCAAAAAGTGCCCTTAAAATCTCAAGTTTTGTTGAACTATTTTGATATATATGCAGGTTACCCGACTGGAAATGGTGCAACTGGAAAGAAGAAGAAGATGAACTTCTGGTCAAAGCCAAAAGGAGACAGGGGCTTCTGCGAGGGATGGTAAGTTCATTTCAAACTGCATGTAAATTACCGACAAAGAGTAACTAACGTATTTTGACACGGCTAATCCGAAGAAAAAGGCTCGAAGGTTTTCGTCTAAACCCTTTTTTGTGGGAAAAGTGAGATCGCGTCGAATTTTTTGTGATCTTGATTTGCATTTAACCCTCTTAATAGTTAACTGATTTATTTGTTTGTGCAGTCTCTTCGCGTTGTGTTGCTGCTGGATTTGTGACGTATGCTTTGATTAAATGCTATGTATAATCAGTTTGCAGTCTTTGAGAAATTTTAATAGATTCTGATAGTTTGAGGTTGTCTAAAGTAATTGATATCATGTCTGTATAAATAAGATACATTTTCGTTTCTTAGTGTCAAAAATGCATAAATAAATACTCCTAAATTATGGAATGATAAGACTGTTATATTTGAAAATGGACAAAGTATACTCATTGACTTTTAATCTATTGACATCTAATCAATCCCTAATTTGCACGAGTGGCGGGATTTTTAAGCACAAATTTACACACGACAATCAAATCGAAGTTTAGTTTATCACATACGCCCAATAAAAAATGGTTATACAAAGAGACATATATTATTCACAATACTCACTTATTTACCATATTATATGGTGATATTTCAACCATGGGATTGATTTGAGCTTATGAGGGTCTCAATTGGGTAACTGAGTGCTGTCTTCGACATGTGATCTTTTTCAAGCCAATTGCAAAGTCGACAATATACTGATAGTTGATATTTTTTAAGCCAACAATTTGGTGTTGTTTATGAGATTGATACTAGAAATCCATGCTCCACCACCCAATTACGAGCTATCAAACATCTATTATAAGATGACCACTTGTTGAAAACACAAACTTACCACATTTGTTCAAGAAGGATATCGATCTTTACATTCTTGCTCATGAATGACCTTTTTGTTGAATCTGAGATTAATTCCATCAGGTAATGATAGAATATTTCTTGTGCATTATGTCATTCAAGATGTACACTTGAATATACAAGCAGAATAATAAAAAAAAAAACAAAAACTCTTGTAAAGTTTTTGTGTAAATGGGCGTAATCCATTCAAAGGAAATATCAAGACATCATCATGGCCCATACCAGGCTAGATGTCGGGCCTAGCACTCCGGATGTAAAATATTTGAGGCCCAATACAATTTATAAACCCAGCCTATCTAGTCACCGCTTGTATTGTGCAAACAAGCACCTAGTTGGAAAAAATTGAAAAAAAACACTATTATTAGTTTGGTACGCAATATTAAATAGTATTGAATACTATAATAAATAAAAAATTAACTCTTTTGTTTCTTAATAATGTCTAACATTGTCTAAAATTACGAGCGTGGAAAAAAAATTTATCTCGAACGTGATAGTATGAACAAGACAACAATGTCAACAAACAAATATTTCACATACTTATCTTCTTTAATACAATTGATTTTTGTGTGAGTCATACCTTTAAACTCTCGACTTGGTATGTAGCCTATTTGATTCAGATTTAAAAAAAAATATTTTTAATAGATTTTAATAAAAGTTAATGTACTGTATAATTGAAAAGTTGTCGATTACATAAAATATATGGTTAAAATTAATTATTAACTTTGACTTAAATTTTAATTCAATTTTTAGCTAAACCAAACATGAACAAAATTTTAGAAGCACGTCAACATCAAATTTAATTATAAATTCGCTTCAAAGGGATAATAGTGATTTGCGTTCCCATTGCCATTGGATTCCTAATAATCAAATGTTTCTAACAAACATTTGACCAAAATGTTTGATGATGTATTCTTGGTAAAGCAACTNAAACAAATTAATCTTAATTTCCTCTTCTAGTTCTCTATATCAAACTTAGATCATTCTTATGAAGTTTCAAGCCTCTTTAATTTACACAGAACATAATCCAATCACCTCCACTTGAATCTCACTTCACTCAATTACGAATAATTCGAGCACGTAAGACCTTAAATGCAAAAATATACCCGAACCTCATAAAAATGATCCATCCCGTACGGCATGGAGTATGTTAAAAACTAAATTTAAATAAATATGTATGTTCTCTTTTTAACATCTTAAATTTTTAAACAATAATTTTCAGTAAGTGTGCATATTGACTTAACTTTATTCTTCAAGAAAAGTTATGGAGGAGAGAAGGGTATCAAGGAATAAGAATTTCTTTACTGTGTAGCACAAAACTCCACCAAGCCAAATAGAAACAAACCATAGGGTCCTCCTTTGCTTTTTCCCCATATATTTTATGTGTTTATATTATCCAGAAAGAGTACATAATTTTTTGTTTAACATTTACAAGATTAATTATTTAATTAAGAGGTATTTTTTATTTTTAAAAAATTGTCATTACATAGTGAGCTAGGCCCATAAAAATTCTCTTTAGATGATTGCCTTAGTCCTTTTCCACAGGGACCTTCAAAAGAGATAATTAATAACCATACAAAATCAAGCCCTATCTTCAAATTCTTCAAAAGCAAATATTATAATTAAATTTTAATTATATGTTAACTGTTTAATTGGAGAAAGGAGACCAGTTTAAACACAATTAGTATGAGAATATATTTGCAAAGGTGTTTTCTTTCCTCATTGGGTTTATGGGGACATGATTCATAAAGGAAATATTTATTTTGTAAAATTCAATCTCATTTTCATACAAGGAATAAAATTGTTATATTTTTCATGTGACGTGACATATACCGTGAATCATGTTATGATTTGTGTTCGGCACAAGGTATCATATACATCTAATCGTTCCTGCAAAATTTATTATAAATTTGGGAAAATGTGATGGGATTTCTTTTGCAAGTTACATATAACAAGTCTCATCTTTTTGGGAGAGGAAATTGGATTTAAAATTTAAATTCTTGGAAGTTAATTTGCTTTGTCCACACATTTTTAAAGCAAAGTGATTAAAAGTTGGTATTTTATGTGCTCAAAAAGTTTGAAGGAATAAATTCCAAAGATGATAGTGGGAATAAATTCCAATGTGTCATTTCTAAAGACTTGCTTTTACAAAGCACCCAAGTGTAAACTATGTATGGTTGAATTATATATTTCTCAACTTATCTAAAATTCACTTCAAAATTGTTGCACAAACTTTCTTGTTCTTTTCACTTCTTACCCAATGAACTTGTTTAGGATACAAATTAATTAGAGCATATTTGGCATTAGATAAGACGCTATAATACAATAATTTGACATTTTTTATTTTACTTTTTATCAAACATGCCATTAAAGTGTCACGATGTCGTCATGCTATATGTGAACTGGGGCAAAAATCTATTTTTCTGCAAAACCAAACATGAACAAAGTAAGCTACTTTTGATCACCACTTCAAAATGGTTTTACCATGAAATTATAATAATTGGTGAATATAAGGCGAAGTCTTAATACAATGGTAAAATTAATAATGAAGAATTTGTGATGAAACATAGTCAAATTCATGATGAACTCTTTCAAATCTACTATCAATTCTAATACTCCTCCAACAGGATTTTCAATCAAATACCCAATCCCAATAAATAGATTGTACAATTATTGTAACAATAGTTTTAGAAGTATAGGCTGGGGGACCATTGAGCTATTTTCTCTAGAAAAATAGGGAAAAGAAAAATGAAAAGGTTTGGTTTCTTTCCTTTTTCCCATTCACTGCTCTTTTCTTGCAATAGGCATCTTTTTTCTTATTTTTCTGCTTTTTATTCAGTCCCATTTCTTTACCTTGTTGTCGATGTACTAATTTTTTTTTCAAGGTTCTCTTTTCTTGCTTGGATTGATTGATTCCAGAAATCCTATTTCTATCCACTTCTTCAGCTGAAACTAGTTAGTTTTTCTTCTGATTCTTACTTTTTTATTTCCTCAGAAATCTCTGGCATTGTTCATTACAACGGAAAGTTCTGTACTTTTTCTTTGTTCTCGAATTTTCATTCTTTCCCCTTCTTGGGCATTTCTTTTTCCTCTGGGATTTGCCTTGGAAGTTCATTACATTAGGAAATTCTTTTGTTTCCCTTTCTGGGTTCTGCTAATCAAGCTAAAAAAATCTCGCTTTTCTTTAGTTTCCGTAAGAAGATTTGAACTTTCAAAATATTATTATTTGCACATATTTTTTCTTGTACTTTTTCGATTTCTTCTCGTCGCTTCAAATGGTTTAATCTCATCTGTTTTGGACTTTTTCGCCGCTTGATAACAAGTTCTTAAGTTTACCTTTTACATTTGGTTTTCACTTATTTTCTTGAATCTTCTTACAATTGGGTTCATTCCATGGGACTTTGTCATGGAAAACCCTCTGAGCCCCCGAAAAATTTCTCTGAAAATCTCCCAGGTGAAAACAATGAGCCTCCACTCAATTCTTCAACTGGGAAGACACCCAAGTTCCCATTTTTCAGCCCAAGTCCACTGCATAGTGCATTCAAGAATTCCCCTGCATACTCTAGCAGTGTCCCTTCAACCCCTTTGCGATTCCTTAAGCGCCCATTCCCACCACCATCACCAGCTAAGCATATTAAGGCATTGCTCACGAGGCGACATGGCTCCGTGAAGACTAATGAGGCTACTATACCTGAAGGGAGTGAGTGTGAGATTATTGGCTTGGACAAGAATTTTGGGTTCTCCAAGAATTTCATCAACCACTTTGAGCTTGGGGAAGAGGTGGGAAGGGGTCATTTTGGGTACACTTGTTCAGCTAAGGGAAAGAGGGATAGCTTGAAGGGCCAGGATGTGGCTGTTAAAGTTATTCCAAAATCAAAGGTCTGGCCTTTTAAAAATGGAACTAAGTTCAGCTTTTACTATTATGATTAAAATATGTAGTGCAAAATGTATTGTGTTATAATTGCTACTGTTATGTCCTTATCATTATAGTTTGTTTGTTTTTATGCGATTACCCATTTCAGTTTATCGGAGATTTGGAGTTATTATATATTATTTTATCTTAGTTTAGATTGTTGGTATCACTTTGTTAGTTATGATGCTATCTTAAATTTTGTTATTGTTTCACGTCTTGTTTGAAATGCTTTTATGACCTAGAGGCCCCCTGCAACAGTTTAAATTCTTACCTATCGCGTGCATTTAGGATGTTTAAATGCTTTGAGATTCAGATTTCGGTATTAAATATCATAACTTGGGCATTACTTTATTAGGTTATTGATGCGTCATAATTTTTTGCTGTTTTTTAAGGTGTACATTGGCCAATGTAAGGCGAATGTAATGAACTTCAAATTTAAAATGTCATACTAACGTGAAGTCAGAAATTAGATATAATGTAATGGCCAAGTTACCGTAAATTTCACAAAGGATGCATGCATGGATTGTGGCTTGTTACGCTTGTCTTTCGGGAACATTATGTTTATTCTTATTACTGAATCTGTGAATTGTGATTTCTATTACATGTTTGTATTGTATATTTTTGATGAATCACTAGATGGAAAGTTTGGTCATCAGAAGTGGCATTATCGCATGAAACCTTTTCATGTAAAAGAGTTTTAACTCAGCCCATGGTCAAAAATGTTCTTTATCTGCCGCGTATGGTTAGCGTAAAGAATGTGAAAAACCAAAGCTCTTCTTTATTTTATATGCAGATGACTACGCCCATTGCCATTGAAGACATTAGAAGAGAAGTGAAGATACTACGTGCACTAACAGGACATAAGAATTTAGTGAAATTCTACAATGCCTATGAGGATGAAGATAATGTTTATATGGTGATGGAGTAAGTTTTGACCAATCTCACTTACCAGGGTCTACTTATGTTGTATTCCTTGTTTATTTTATTTTTTTATAGAATCAAACCACCACGTAGTGGAGATTTTATCACTAGAGGAACGAAATACAAACTTAGGAGGAAGACATAGAACGGGACCTCCAGCCAATGAAAATTCAAAATAGTACGAAATTAAATAGTCTAGAAGATGGGTGACTGAAGATAAAATGTAATTCAATTTTATTTGTTGCCTTAACTTTTGTCAGCCCTTATGGCAACTTTGTGTCATATGATTTGATCTTCATTTAACAATTTTTTAACTTCTCTTTTTAATTATTTGGAGCTCAGTTTTCATTTTCTTGCGTATGGTTGCCATGCATGATATTTAAGTGGACTCAACTTCTAAAGTTAGTGTCTTGCTTGGTCAATGATGTAAAGATATATTTAAGTCATCTATATCTTTCTTTACTTGGTACAGTTAATGCTGAAAATCTATATATAATTTGGTTGGTCATCCGAGAAGTAAATATACATTGAAGTTGTCCAAGTCTTGAATTTGTTAATTAGAAGTTTATCAATATTGAAACTTGAAAATTATGGAGGAGTTCAACTAGTAACTTGAACACATTCTCAACCAACCTCCCTCTCCCTCTCCCTCTCCTTCTCCTTCTCCCTCTTCCTCTCCATCTACCTCTCCCACCCAAACCCCCATTACAGAGGAAATGAAATAAACAAATATTTGAACAGTGCAGTAGTGTAACTTTGGAGTGTTATACAAATACTACCTACACTCTAATCACTAATTGAGTTTTGAAGTTCTGATGCTAACGGCAATTTTTTTTCTTTTCAGATTATGCACAGGAGGAGAATTATTGGATAGGATACTTTCTAGGTATGCTCAAAGATTTTTGTTCCCCATCTTTAGCAAACTCCTCTCGTGTTTCCAAGCCTCCCAGCTAATTATTCATCTGACTTAGGGGCGGCAAATACTCAGAAGAAGATGCCAAAGTTGTCATGATACAGATTTTAAGTGTGGTTTCTTATTGTCATCTTCAAGGTGTGGTTCACCGTGACCTAAAACCAGAGGTATACTGACTTTCCTACTATCCTTATTTTGTTGAAAACAAGAATTCTACCATCTGTTGTTCACCACTCCTTCTGGCCTAGTATTCAAAAACCTACATAGAAAGTTTGAGACTGGCTCATCTAGAATTGCCTCATTGGAGTCTCTCCCCTGTTTTGAGGAAGCACTAATTGAAATTAATTGATTGAAGTAATATGTTTCCTTGTAGAGACAACCTTTGGAGTATGGCCTAAATCTAGATGATAAATTGCAATTTCTATTGAAATTTCAATACTTGATCTAGGTCTTAGTAATCTGGTTTCATTTATGTTGTACAACTATTTTTCTTTTCTGGGTTGAAAAGCTAGATCAGCTGATTTTCGTGCTCCCATGACCATGTGAGTACAAAAAAAAAATGGCACCCCTTTCTCTTTATATGCTTCGATTGATATTTTTTTTGCTTCTGTTGACAAGTTTTTCTAAATTTTGCTTCAGAATTTTCTCTTTTCTTCAAAAGAAGATCACTCTGCTCTAAAGGCCATTGACTTTGGGCTCTCTGATTATGTAAAGCCAGGTTAAGTATATTGCTAGATATTTTTGTGTTCTGCTTCTTACATGCTAAACCTCAATCTTATAAATGTACTATATGATTAGGCTCCACACAATTCAACACACTTATTATCACTATTTCGGTAGATTATATTTTGACTGGTAGATGTTTTGGCAGATGAGAGGCTGAATGATATTGTTGGAAGTGCTTACTATGTGGCCCCTGAAGTTTTGCATAGATCGTATGGAACAGAAGCCGACATGTGGAGTATTGGTGTGATTGCTTATATACTACTTTGTGGAAGCAGACCCTTCTGGGCTCGGACAGAATCTGGAATATTCCGAGCTGTCCTAAAGGCTGAACCGAGCTTTGATGAAGCCCCATGGCCTTCATTATCTTCTGACGCGATAGATTTTGTTAAGAAATTATTGAACAAGGATTACCGTAAAAGAATAACAGCAGCTCAGGCACTCAGTAAGTAGTTTTACGCACTAGACTGTGTTATATGTCTGACTTTTGGTCTAATTCCCACCTTCAAAAGGATTCTATACATATTTTCTTGACTTCGTCATCATGTTTGGATAAGCTATATTTTTCCTTTTTTGAGTTGAAAAAAGTTGCTTCTTTTAAAGTATCTCCGACTTTCCTGTCAAAATAATTCACCTAGTTTCATCTTTGACCTAAAAAAAAATTATTTATGTTAAAAGTTACATATTTCCTTGTAAGTAAATTACTTATAAGTTAACTTTTAGTGAAACATGCTCCTAGCCCATTTCCTGATCTCCCCAAGAAAAATTGCGGGAACTGCCTTGTTTAGTGTGGTTGCATAATATTCTAATGCATATGTTCAATTGTCTTGTTTAGGTCATCCATGGCTGGCTGGACACCAAGATGTGAAGATACCTCTGGATATTCTAACATATAAGCTTGTTAAAGCTTATATATGTTCTTCTTCTCTGAGAAGATCAGCCTTAGCGGTATGTATATTTGGCAGATAGTACTAGTCCAAAACTATGAATAATACTATTACGAATTATTTAGCTACAAAATGCTGATTTATTGTGTTACACGGTATCATTTAATGAAATTAGGTACATAAAATTCTTTTTTGTGAAACTAAACTGCATCTTGTAATGCTAAATTCATTGTTAAATTACCTTAAAGCCGTGACTTGAATCAGAGAAGCTTATTGCGAATATTGCCAAATGTACAGCTATACAAACATGATGATTAGGATGTAAAAGGAGGATAATTTAATGAAGTTTCGTTATCTTTTATACTTGAGCTCATCTTAACTTATTCTGCTTACCAAACTCATTTTCATTCAGTATTAATCCAACTACTAGAAGAACTGCTCTGCTTTGTAACAGGCTCTTGCAAAAACATTGACAATATCACAGCTAGCATATCTCCGAGAACAGTTCATATTAGTAGCACCTAACAAAAGCGGGTTTATATCCCTGCATAATTTGAAGACGGTCAGCTCTTTTGCCCTCTCCTTACCCCAACCCTGAAAAAGCTCCATGCTATGCTGTTTTTATCTTCTACGTTGCTTTTACCGATTGTGTTGCTGTAAGCAGGCAGTGGCAAAGAACTCCACTGATGCAATGAAGGATTCACGGGTTCTAGATTATGTCAATGTGGTAAAACTTTCAGGGACCTCTTTTTAAAAAAATTTGATTCTTTGTTTTGGATTTATTACTTCTGTGTCATTACTTAGTCTTACTACCACAATAGTGATGATAATTTCTTAATGCAATTTCATGCATAATGTAGGTGAGTTCTCTTCAATACAAAAAATTGGACTTCGAAGAATTTTGTGCAGCAGCAATAAGCGTACATCAGCTCGAAGGAATGGAAAGCTGGGAGCAACACGCACGCCGTGCCTACGAGTTTTTCGAGAAGGATGGTAACCGGCCCATTATGATTCAGGAACTTGCTTCGGTATCTCTCTCTCTCTCTCTCTCTCTGTGCGTGTGGATGTACAAAAGGGTATAACAACACTATAACGGCCATAGCCATGCTGTTAAAACTATATGGAGATGAGGCATGACTAAGGGCCAAATAAACGATTATTTTACTACGACTAGTTTCTTTTTTCTTTCTATTTAACACCATTCACTACCTTTCAAAAAAAATCTAACACCATTCACTGGATTAGATTTTCTTTACATTAACACTACATTGGATGACCCGTTACTGTAAATTCGTCAGTTTTATTGATTACGGCATTGTTTATAGCAATGCTACTATTATGGGAGATCGGTGATATTTACATAATCTGAATAGATCTCTCTCAAAATTGTTAAAAATCTCATGGATGTTGGAATGTTAGTTTAAAATATCGTCAGAAGATTGTTTCTCATGGATTTAGATTCATGAAATTGTTGGTAAACAATACTCATATTCACCTACATTTTGAACAGGAACTTGGACTTAGTCCATCTGTACCAATCCATGTAGTTCTACAGGATTGGATAAGACACTCTGATGGTAACCTCAGCTTCTTGGGGTTCGTCAGACTTCTGCATGGAGTTTCTTCTCGGGCAGCTCATAAGGCATGAAACATGTTCTAGCCGCACATTCGTTGTTAAATGTGTGTCGTAGTCTTGGACTCCAGTGTAAAGGGAATTGTTGTTTTCCCAATCAAGGCGGCTTTGAAGAAGCGCGTGAAGTACACCTTAATTCCATAGAAGATTGCCGTACTTCTGAAGCCTCGGAAATTAAGAAGATTGTACAGTTGAGAGTAGATCGCTAATTGTATTAAGGGCTAGAAAACAGCTTGGAGCCGAAGTGAGTTTTGTGTCTTTGATGCACTGAAGTTTCTGTGTAATTATAATGATTTTAATTGTGAACCGAAATGTCATGGATATATGGTATTCTTTGTTCAATGGAATTGTAAACCTGCTCTAATCGGGTTTCATCTTGTCTAGTTCTCCTTGCTGAATCTCTTATGTCCTCTTATGATATTCATCTAAGGTCGAGTTGGGCACAATAATTTGCAAAGGTTGCATTTAACTTAAATTCTTCTCTTTTGAGAGTTTGGGGTTCACAAGGAGTTTACTCATTGTGGTTTTCATTTAGAATTGATCGTGGCATATGGTTCAACTTAAATATACGTATAAAACCACTTTTAAGTAATTCTTTTCATCTATATAGGATACCCAAATATTTTTATTTATTTTTTATTTTTCAAACTATAAAAATTTACTTATTTTAAAACTAAGTCTTATTTTTTTGTCAAAATAAATAATTTCAATTTCCGTTTCAACTGAGTATCCATCTATAAAAGGCTGAAGGGTAACTATATTAACACCACAATTTTTATTTCTTGTACCACATTTTAAGTCCTTGTTTGAGGGTCATTATTTTGAAAAAACGATGTTTCGAATAAGGATATATTCTTATCCTTGAACTTATCGTTTGTTAACACATTTTATTTTTAATAACAGTTTTTATCTAAAAAGTCCATAGAGATAACGCATAACAACTTATTTTTTCATCCTATTTGAAAAAAAATAAAGAAGTACAAAAAATATTTTTTCATCATTTCAAAGCACATAAACAAAATATTTTTATATAAATCATCATCAATGACCAGATACACTAATTAATAAAATGTTGAAGATAAGAATTCAATCAAAAAAATTTAGATAGAATAATTGTTACAAGAAGTAAAGATTGAGAAATTTATTTGCAACTAAAATACGATGTAACGAATAAAAACTATGGTGCTAATATAATCACCCAAGGCTAAACTATAATAATTAATAAAATGGTAATTAACACATAACATCCTCATTTTTCATTGTTATTATGAAAAACGTTCATACCTTTTATTTTTTGACATTTTCACCCTTATTTTCACACTTCATTGCGCAAAAGGTCATTTTTATCCATTTTCTCAATTAAAAATTGTGAAATGACGAAAATACCCTTCCATTTAGATAAAACAAAAAGAAAAAGAAAAAAACTAATTGCAACATATTCCCAACTTTTTTGAAAAACGCATATGAATTCCAAATAAATTATTAAAAAGTAATTAGTACCATACCTTCACTATTATTGCAAAAAAGTCCCTACATTTTTTTTTTTGACATTTTCTCTCTTAATTATACATTTAATAGCGCAAACTATCATTTCTATCTATTTTCATCCAATTTTTCAATAAAAATAGTGAAATGACGAATATACCCTCATATTTCAATAAAAAGACTAAAAAATTAATTGCAACCATAGTTTGAATTTTTTTTTTAAAAAAAAGTACAAACGAGTCCCAATTAAATTTATTTAAAAATTAAAAAAATTAAAAAGTGTAAACGAGTCCCAAATAAATTATTGAAGAATTAGAAATTTAAAAAAAAAAATTCAATATGATGGTATATTAATTATTTCATAGTTTTTTTTATTGAGAAATTTGATAAAAATGAATGAAAATAATGGTTTGCACAATTAAATATGTAATTAAGGGTTAAAATATCAAAAAAAAAAAAAAAATGAAAGATGTGAACTTTTTTGCAATAAAAGTGAAAGACAATGACATTATGTACTAATTAACCTTTTAATAATTTATTTGGGGCTCATATGCTCTTTTCAAAAAAATTGGGACTATGATTGCAATTAATTTTTTTTCCTTTTGTTTTATTTAAAGGAAATGGTATTTTCGTCATGTCACAATTTTAAATTGAGAAAATGGATGAAAATGACTTTTTGCGCAATGAAATGTAGAAATAAGAGTGAAATATCAAAAAAATTAAAGGTATAGATGTTTTCCACATTAACAATGAAAGGTGGGAATGTTACGTGCTAATTACTCTTAATAAAAAATCAGAGAGAAAAAACTTGACATAAGATTTTTACCCTATCTTGTATTGCGCCCTACACATGCATTCACATTCTGTTCTTCATCTAATCGTGATGGAAGGTGAAGAAAATCTATTCAAACGTCTTCTACTAGAAAACGATGATGAATTGGCTGAAGAAATAAAAAATATTACTGGGTATGAATTCAAAGATCAAAATTTATTAGTACAAGCCCTTACTCATCATTCTTACGTAGAAAATTGTGAATCATCGTACGAGAGGCTTGAATACGTTGGTGATTCTGTTCTCAATCTCATGGTTGCTGAAGAACACTATCTTTTGTACCCGGAGTTACAACCCGGCGATTTGACCCGATTACGAGCTGCCAATGTTGATACAGAGAAGCTTGCACGAGCGGCTTTGAAACACCAGCTGCACAAATTTCTACGCCATAATAAACCTATACTTGCTGGACAAGTAACTGGGATTTAATCTTATTTATTTTTTAACATTATTTACATTATTTGAAAACTAACTTTGGTGTTACAGATTAAAGAATTTGAGGATGCAGTCATGGAATATCCTTTGCATTCTTGGGGACTGATTGATGTGCCGAAAGCTCTTGCAGACATTGTCGAATCTTTGATCGGGGCAATATATATCGACTCCAACAGATCGATGAACATAACCACCAAGGTATAATTGGACAAATATTTAGACCATGTTTGTTTCCAATTTTAATGAAAATTTGTACCGTTGCAATGGGAACAACCGTTTTTGTTGACCAATTTATCTCATAGTGGGACCCATTTGTTTGAAAAAAAAGTCAAAAAATTCATTCTTCTGTTAAAATAATTGGGATACAAACGGGTCCTTAGTTTGTTATATTATAAATGTTGACTCATATACTGTAAAAGTTGACTTGTAATTTCGATTTTGCTCTAATTTATCTTATAACGGGGTCGTCATTAGAATTTTATATCATCATTAAGAAGGGTTAGAAAAGATAGAGTGTGCGATTTTTTTTTAATTTTTTGTAAACTTCTTTTCATCATAGTAAATTATTATAACATCGGAAGATGACGTAGTTTCGCATTGAGATTAACTTCTTTATGCAATTTTATTCCTCTTGGTGGTAGAATTAGGGTTTCTAATTCTCAACAAGGTGGGATTTTACACCATTGACAGCTAGATAAAACGGATGCTTCTTTAATTGCTATATTTTCGAATCTTGAAATAACTTGGATTAAGGTTTGTGTAGCATTTTGTGTTGATGACTGCAGATAGCAAAGGATTTGTTACAGCCAGTGATCACTCCAGAATCTATCCAGATGCATCCAGTAACAATGCTATACGAAATATGCCAAAACAAAGGTTGGAAAGTTAACATAAAAGATATGTGGAGTAAAAAAACTGGCGAAATTCAAGTTTTTGTGGACGGAAAATTTGCTGGAAGGGGAAGGAGCGAAGGCAAGAAATTTATTGCCGTCAATAGAGCAGCACACGATGCAAACCAGCAGATTGTAAGAAGACTTGCTCAAGAAAATGCACAGTGCATGGCCTCCCCCAAGTTGCCGACTACTGCTGAGTTCTAGGAAAGAAATTTTCGAATAGCAATTGAATCTAATATTTCACAGTTGTATACATGTCTAGACGACTCTACAATTTGTGTTTCCTCCTTAAACAGGCTGAGTTCTTCTGTACTTTGAAATGGACAACATTGTCGTCGATAATTACTGATGAAGGTGTGTCGCGCTCACCGATAGTATTGTCACCCACATCATTAAAAAAAATGCATAAATGACAAAATGATATGGCAAGATCTAGGTCATTGATTTCAAAAACTGTTTTTTAAATCATTGATCAAGATGTTGTCAATGCGTATTTTGTAACCTAACTTTGTACAAGTAGCATGACTCGCACAACAATGTGCATTGATGCATTGGAAATGCCTCGTGTATATGGGCCCACAATTAGTGCAATTCACAACCCAATTAGAGATGCACAACAATGTACATTGATGCATTGGAAATGTTCTAAAAAATTGTGTAGGTAGTCACACCACCCAGATTTACTAGAACTTTATATTCCATTTTTTTTTTCTTTTTCTGAAAAATAAATTATTTGATAAGAGTGACAATGATGTCACCACAAATTAACAATAATTTCAAAAAATATATTTACTAGCACGACCAGAGTAAAATGACTCGGATAACTACATATTTCTATACTTACACTACAACATGTTCATACTTCAAGTTATTCACGTTGCTACTTCTACATCAAAATTTGATTTGAAATTGGAATTTATTTATTAGTTTTAGATTGCAATTGTGGCTGGAGATGAATCTGAATTATAATCTAGCTGCAAAAAAATCAATTATCCAAAAATTACTTTTCAAAATATTTATCAAACAAACACGACATATGTGGTACTTTTCCATAATAAAAAATTTATAAACACCGTATTCTCAATCTTACCCGTAAAAGTGTGAGATTAAAAGCCTTTCAAAAAATCCCTCAAGAAATCAAATGCTGGTGTTTTGATATTTTTTTGCTTCACTTTTCTGCAAAACTGAGTGAGAGAAATTCAATGGCGATCCAAAAGATCCACAGGGCAAAATCAACAAAACCCAGATCTCCAATACTTATAATCTTAGCCTTCGTTGCTTGCATTGCGGTTTTGTACCTTGCTTCGTCAGTAGTTCCCACAATTGGATTCTCTTTATCCTCTCCAAGAAGCCTAAAGAACTTGGTAAAGAACCCCGAGAATCATCGAATTGGGCACGAGAAATACTTATACTGGGGGAACAAAATTGACTGCCCTGGAAAACACTGTGAGTCCTGCGAGGGTCTGGGCCACCAAGAGTCCAGCCTTAGGTGTGCCATCGAAGAAGCTTTGTTTCTTGAGAGGTACATATTTTAAATCTTTAATCTTTCTATGGAGTAAATTTTGGATCGTGATGTTTTTTCTACTTTTTCTTTTGGAATCGTTGGAAAATCTGATTTACCCGTAATGGTGGCTAATTTGAGAGCGCCAATCTTGGAATTTTAACTGTTTTGTTTTAGATTTAGATGGATTGGATTGCTCGTTTGAGATTTTTATCCTGTGATACAATGTTTGTACGTTTTGATTGTTGAGATAATGAGAATCTTTTGAACAGCTAGATTGATAATTGAATCAACACGTAGTGATGTCCATACAAGTTTTGGAAAGTGTTAGTTTGTATCATATAGGTTGTTTGGTTTGAGAAGGTGGTTTTTAGGTTCAACATTTACAGCTCGTGTCTACCAGCTTTGCAATATGGATGGACACGAAGAAGAATGCCAGCAGTGGGAAATGCAAAAGAGAAGAGCAAAGATCCCCAACCTAGTTAAACTGAGTTGGTGTTTAGACAACTTTGAAGGAATATTTTCACTCATAGTAGTGATGCAATAGATCTTCTGCTACTCCATTCAATGAAAATAATCTATACATTTCAAATTTCAATTTTTCGAAGGACCACTTATAATTTAGAAAACCGGTTACACACATTAAAAAAAAAAGAATCTTGTAGTGGTTACTTTTTTTAAGCAATTCGGTTAATGAGATCTCTTCCTAGAGCAGGACGAAAGTGCCTACAGATACACCTGAAGATCATAAGCCATCACTCGTATCATAAATGCCCTTGAGTTTTAAGCTTTGTAATTGTCTTGATTTCCCCTTTTGCAGTCTTAACATGCTCTTTATGTGTTTTTAACAACAATCGTTCACAAGGAGTCTACCTCTCCGTGGTTTCTGATTAGAAATGGTGATTTCTTCTGGAAGTTAGTAAATGGATAAATGTTTATCTTCATTTTTTGTAATTAACGTATTTACTTTAAGATTGTTGAGGTAATGAGAATCTTTTGAACAACTGGATTTATAATTGAATCAACTCTTTGTGATGTCCATACAAAATTTGGAAAGCATTTGTCCTTTAAATATAAATTGTTGATCTTTTAGGTAATAAATTTTCTCCCATTGCAGTGACTCGAGCTCTTCTGCTACTCCATTCAATGTAAATGATTTGTGCACAGATTCAATTGTTTGAAGGATCGCTTAAAATCTAGGAAACAGGTTGCACACCAAAAAAAAAAAAAATGCAACCTTTTGTTATGTAATTCATCTTGAGCTCTGATTAATAATAATCTTGTAGAGGATGCTTTTTTCCAGCAATTCAGTTAATGAGATCTGTTCTTGGAGCAGGATAAAAGTTCTTACAGATACACCTTAAGATCATAAGCCATCACTTGTATCATAAATGCCCTTTACCATTATTATTTACTCGAGTTTTATGTTGCTTAATTGTCTTGATTTCCCTTTTTGCAGGCTCAACACGTTCTTTATTTTTTTTAAATGCAATAATCTTCCTTACACTTTCTCCTCCTGGTTATAGGACTTTTGTGATGCCTTCTAGGATGTGCTTAAATCCAATACACAATAAGAAGGGGATTCTTCATTCATCTGAAAATATGATTTCAGAGGAAAGGTCAGTTTTCACTTGGTTGCTCACTACAGAGACTTTATTGTCTTCATGGCATAAATAATTCATAACAAAATCGTTGGTTGACATGAAAGTACCTGGTGTTGTGAAATTAAGTATTAGAATCTTGCTTTTGCATTTTTGATCCATCACTTGGGAAAGAAGATAGGCATGTAAGTTTGATGTTTCCTTGTTACATTTCAAACTTCAAAACTACGGAATGAATATTACTAATGGAATTTAATAATACCATGCTGCCAAATGAAAGCGACCTAGGACGTGAATAGTCTTTTTGAAAATTGAACTTTTTGGTTACAACCCTTATAATTAAGAAAGTCAAAAAGGAAGGAATTGTTGTCCATAAAATTACAAAGATTTATGTCTTGTGGTTTCCACTCGCCATTTCAGTTCTCATCTAGTACTTGATTGAATATAGCTGCAAACCAGTGTTGCTTACTCCCCTTTGTGAATGTTGAACTCTGTTTGTTAGGTGGGCTGCTAACTCATGTGCTATGGATTCTTTGTATGATCTGGACCTAATATCCAACACGGTACCTGTAATTTTGGATAATTCAAAGCAGTGGCATCACGTCCTTTCAACCAGCATGAAATTGGGATCCAGAGGGGCAGCACACGTACAAGGGGTCAGCCGGGATGATCTCAAAGAGAAGAGTTTGTACTCCAATATTTTGCTCATAAATCGAACAGCGAACCCTCTATCATGGTAAGTGTACGTTCTCTAACTTATGGTTTTTCTACTTCTTTTTCTGCCCCCTCCCCGAATTGGTCAACGCTGTAGTTAAAACTAGTTTAGAAGATGCTATTTGACCAATTAACTTCGTTTTTGGGTGCTGAGTTGTTGTTGTTATTATTATTATTATTATTATTATTGTTAGGAATATTGGGCCCAACTCCACCTAATAAAACTGGCTTATTAGGGGAGGATTGCCCTCACCTTATTAAGTGGATCATTTATATTTTCCCAAACAATGTGGGATTCTAATACGCCCCCTCACGCACAGCGTGGATCATACCAAACAACTGTGAACAAATCGATATTGGGTGGCACCCAACATTGTATAATTGGGCCTAACTCAGATACCATGTTAGGAATATTGGGCCTAACACCTCACCTTATTAAGAGGATCATTAATATTTTCCCAAATAATGCGGGATTCTAATACGCCCCCACACTCATAGCGTGGACCATGCCAAACAACTGTAAATAAATCAATATTGGGTGGCACCGAACATTGCATAATTGGGCCTAGCTCTGATACCATGTTAGAAATATTGGGTCTAACTCCACCTAATAAAACCGGCTTATTGGGGGAGGATTGCCCTCACCTTATTAAGTGGATCATTTATATTTTCCCAATCAATGTGGGATTCTAATAATAATAATAATAATTATTATTATTATTATTATTATTATTATTATTATTATGTTTGTTCCTCAGTGGTCATCAGTTTGAGTCCTTCAGGGTCACTGAGGTGAGTACTCGATCGTAAACTTCAGGGCCCCGTGGGATTAGTCGAGGTGCGCGCAAGTTGGCCCGAACATCCACGGTTATCAAAAAAATAAAAAGTTATTATTATTTTTTATGATACTAAAATGTTGTTTACATTTCAGGGACCTAATTTGTAATTATTTCGCCTGGTTATACATTTCAATATTGAAGTTTCTATGAAGTGTATAATCAATTTAAATTTTGAATCTTGATAGCTTTTGTGTAGGTATTAATCATGATAAACATCCAGGTTCATGGAGTGCAAGGATCGAAACAACCGCAGTTCTGTCACGTTGTCTTATTCATTTCTTCCTTCAATGGCTACAAAGAAGCTACGAGATGCAGCAGAAAAGGTAGTTAACTGCATTTAGTTATGTTTCTGTCAGTCAGTGACCAGTGAGTTTAGTAACTTTTTTTTTCAGCACAAACACTTCAATAAAGTGCAAAATTTAGACGAAGAAGAAATGAAAGGGATACTTTAAGCTGGTGAGACATAGGGAGGAAAGATAATATTCTAAGCCTCATGTACAGGAAAAGAAGAAAAAGAGAGAAAATATAAGGAAATGGGAAAATAAGTGTGAGAAAAAGTTTAATCAAGCATGACTTCGACGAAGATAATCAAACACTCGAGGAAAAGAATTAAAAGGAATAATTTCCTGAACTTCGCTCAGCTTCGTGGTTCTATTGCGTATTTTTGCTCATCTAAATATTTTTCGTAAAGATGTGACTTATGTGAAATATGTGTTATTTCTGCTAAGCAATCAATTATGAGTATTCATTTCTACAGATCAAGGCGCTTCTTGGTGATTATGATGCTATACATGTTCGTCGAGGTGATAAATTGAAAACTAGGAAGGACAGATTTGGGGTTCATCGGAGCTTACATCCTCATCTAGACAGGGATACAAGGCCCGAATTCATTCTTTGTAGAATCAAAAAATGGGTTCCCCCTGGACGAACTCTTTTTATTGCCTCCAATGAAAGGAAGCCGGGATTTTTTTCACCTCTGGCTGTGAGGTATGTCATTTTTCTTTTTTTCTTGGATATTGGTGCTCTTGCTGTGTTTATGTTATAGTAAATCGTAATGTCTATTTGTATGGAGGATTAGTTGATCAAATCAATTTTATTATGTTCCGGGATTGAAGAATATGTTCTCTTTTGCACTATAATTATTTTTTTCTGTTAACTTTGCCATCTGCGGCCCTTTTAGTGCATTTTGCTATGCAGTAGGAGACATGATTGGACCGTATCATAAGATTTTAGCTTATTTTTCTTCCTTAATATTGTCCAATCCACCTTACTAAACATTAAACATGTATTTGAAAGCTGAGTTATTGTTCTTGTTGGAAATTGTGATAATTTCATCTCAGAGGAAACTATCTTCTTATTTATGGTTCGTTATATTTTTTGATGGATTGTGCTTTACGTTCTTAGTTGTATGAATTTGTCTTTTTTTTTTTTTTTGCAATAAATTGGTTGAACGAGTTTCAGGTCAATAATACAAATAAAGCCAACCTCGTCATTTTTTAAGTTACTAAAGATTTGTGCCTTGATTTTTTGTTATCTGATATATATGTTCTCTTATTTTGATGATTTTGGGCCTTGGCCAGTAACGGATCCAGGAATGTTGGTGAATTATCAACAGCTACAATAGTGAGATCTTAAATAATATTAAAAATTCTTCAATTAATATATAAATGCACTAAAACATAAAAATCATATGCATATGAAAATATAATCCAATGCAATCCAAAAATAAGAAAATAATGTTTAGCCTCAATTCCCATAAAGCACGTAAATCCAAAGAATAGTCAACATTGATTATGAGCAATGCCTCTTCCTCCCTATCGATACCCCTAACTTCAAAAACCCTCTTTTCTCCCTTTTGCTTTTTAGAAAAGCTAATTCTTCCTCAGTCAAAGAAATATAGTGTTAGCAACGCCTGCATCCAATGTCCACGTTTCAGTAATTAAAGTATCACATGAGCAGAATGTTTTACTGCTTCTCATTTCATGCTAGGGTGAAAACACATGAACATTTACAGATGGAGACTCTTCATCAGACTTCTCCATGGTGTTTTAACATTAGAATGCCAAAATTCACATTTTAGAAACCTCAAAAGAAGCTGTCTGTCTGGCCTTGAAAAAAAGGGGAAAAAAAAAAATTACCGCTTGCGGAGCCTGCAGGGCCTCGCTAGGTGTTGGATCCGCCACTGGCCTTAGCACATGCAAAACCTTTTGTAGATGTCATCCTAAACCTGACACGCTGTGATATAAGATCGTTTACGGTTATGGGGTCATCACTTGTTTCATTTGGGACCTAAGTTCTTAAGATTTTTATCATAACCGCATCAAACTATTTTAAAATAAATAAATTTAATCATAATAAAAATCCAGTGTCTCCTAAGTCATAGGAATTATTTGTATTTCATTCGGGACTTGAAGTTTGTTTACTTGTAAGTAAATGAGTGAGTTTTAAAATAAATAGTCTTTTTATTGATCAACTAACAAGTTATTTGTATTGACAGTAAGTTAGGAGTTACTTTCAATTTAACTGCTGCTCGAGTTCTATGATACCTAGGTTTCTTAGTTTGGTCTGTTCTTGGATACACACCGTTCAATATCGTAGTTAATTTCATGTTTTTTGCTGTGATGTTATTTGCAGGTACAAATTGGCATATTCATTGAATTATAGCAGTATTTTGGATCCTTTAGTTGAGAACAATTATCAACTATTTATGGTAGAAAGACTTATAATGATGGGTTCCAAAACGATTATTAGGACGTTTAAAGAAGACAATACGGATCTCAGCCTCACTGATGATCCAAAGAAGAACACCAAGGCATGGCAGATACCCATTTATACCAAGGATGGGGAGGAATGTTGATCTTTAAATCCTCTTAATATAGCCACTACTTGTTTGCTATAGCTAGGACTGAACAGTATCTATATACCTGATTTTGGCTTCGGTTGTTTTCTTGTTACTATCCAATGTGATCTAATGCTTGTCTCTTGTTCGAGGGACGACTCCACAAAAAATGGAGATTCTATGGTCTTTTTTTTTTTTTTGGTAAATTGCCTGGTGCAAGTGATAGATATTGGAACACTTCGATTTGTTGTATGTACATGTTTAAATCTCATTCAGAAACTGTGTAATGAAAAAGGTTAGTTCGAGTTTTCAATGATTTTGTTGCTAGTGGTGTTGAAAGATAAGGCAGATTAATGCTTATTCAACCAGGATTGAGGCTTTCTTATTGTAACATAATTTTTCAAATAGAGGTGTGGAGTGAAACGTTTTTAGAGTCCACACGACTCAACTTACAGGTAAATCCTGTAAGCTTAGCCCAACATTCACCAAGAACAATTTGAATAATGCTACTCGTACGTAAGTAATTACATTATAGTTTATGACAAGTCAAAAAAAAGTGGAGGTGTGTTTTTTTTTTTTTATTTGGTTGAAGAAATTTTAATGCAATCACATCTTACCATATCATGTCTATGTAAATTAATATGTAAACATATTATGCACACATAGCACAACGGCAACACTTTCCACTGGTATAGCATAACTAGCAACCTTCCTCGACATTATCGCAGACCAAGATTCCGCCATAAAATAGAAGTGCAACATTGTACGAAATAATTTTACTCTTACAAGTGCAATACCAAAAGAAAAATTGCCAAGTAGATTAAAACGACTACAAAAGTATCTAAAGTCAACATTTAAAGACCAAGTCCAACTGTTCGACCATCTCTCCTACGCAGTCCAGCAGTGTATTGCTTCTCCAAATCTAACTGGAGCTGATCCTGCTGTTTCTCCGTATCTGGATTGTCTGGTTTGTGCTCGACTTTGACCTCACCTTTCACGCCCTGCAATTGGCCATAGGTACCAAGGCAACCTCAGACTCAAAGTGTGTTAGTATGTGGGAAGAAATTTCTAATAACAATATACACTGTTTTTCACTCTTTAGGATGTTTATGGCGTGGTATTGGAAAGTATGTATATAACAGATGATAGTTGAACTTCATTTTCTTCTTTCATCCTATTATATTGGTGCCAATCCAACCTATCAAACATGCCATAACATAATAACCAGTAAAAAAACCAAAAGGACTGGAATTTACCATGAGTTTGATGAATTTTTCTTGACGTTCACGATCACCAAATGTTGCCGTATCCCAGCGATGGACAGACTATATTGAGCATTGAACATAACATTAGCAGAAGATGGTGAATGTTCTCAAGCATCTCATTTCAGAAAATGATAATCTAGTAGTGGCTTGTGAAAAGGTTAACATGATGTTGGTCCTAGAGCATGTTTGGCTAAGATTAAAAACAACAAAAAGTTACTTCCAAGTATTTTTTTTCCTAAACATGTTTGGATAAGTTACATTTTCCTTTTAAGGAAAATAATTACTTATTTTCAAAGCAACTCTCAGATTACTTATTTTTCACTGTTGATTAGTAGGAAACTTGTATCTTATAAACTTATTTACTTCTATATCTTTCAAAACTTATTTACTTATAAGTAAACTCCTTAAGCTTAGCCAACATCCTCCTAGTTTCTTAACAGGGTACATGAAGTTTCCATAACAATTCCAAGCAGATTTCGGTGCAATAAAAGTATTTAATTGATCAAGAACCCCTCAAACTCAAAAGTACAGCTTATGGCCTATGGGTATATTACGTTGAAGCTAAATTGATATATTACCTTTGTCCACTAGTTGATCAAGTCAAAAATTGGAAATGGGAGAGGACGAAAGAGGAAAATATGAATGCGAGTAACCATGAAGATAAATAACAAGTACCTCTTCAGATGTTGTGTTTTTCTTATTGCCCCACAATAGCTTCTTCTTTTGATCAGCAGACATATACCCAGTTCCTATTAGATTCCTATTAACTGCAATTTATTCCAAAGAAAGAATCATTGGAAAATATTTAAAGTGCACTGCAGTTCTAAGTATATAGGTACTTGGGGTATTTTCTTTACTGATCTTCTTCCCTCCAAAACTGAGCACATTCAGAAAATGCAAATACCGAGCATAAATATTGACAGCATTTACGTGGAATAAGTTAAATGAGCAATAGCAACAACAAATAAAGTCAGAGAATCAATAAATGCCTACCTAATTCAGCAGCTTTCATGGCAGCGTTTTTTGCAGCATCAATATCAGAATCTGTCACGCAGGCCTGCTTCGCACTCACTGCTTCACAAGTATCTTGAGTTTGCTTTGAGGTTGATGACTGCTTTTCATCATCTGAGATTGCAGATTTAGAAATTGATAAAACCATAAATGGAGCCATAATCACCTTGTAGCTACAGGACATACTGAAACTTACCATCTTTTGCAAGACCCAAGCTATCTATCTTCGGTTTCTTAGCAACGGACTCTTCAACTTGGCCAGATAAAGTTTTCTTGTCTTCAGATATCCCCGCTGGTTCCCTGTAGTGTCGTTCCTTGTATCTGTCCTGATCCTCGTGTATCTTCTTCTCCTCTTTATTGTACTTCTCACCATCTAGTTCTTTAATGTCTCTCTTAGCAGCTTCTTTCAGATGAAGCCCAGAACTGTCCCTTCGAGAAGATGAGTTATTTCTTAGACCCCTGAGATCTTCATAAGCAGGTGAGCGATCACTTCTGTGGTCTCGTGAAGTCCTTTGATGGTCAATCTTCCCATCTCGTCCATCCCTATTCTCTTTATGCCGGTTCCCGTCTCTGTCCTTGTCAAATGAGTCTTCTTCTTTATCTCTGCTTCTATGCCCTGAACTGTCAGATTTATATCGAGAGTATTTGCCCATGTCACGTGGATAGTCTCTAGGTCGGTTCTCGTGTCTTGAGTAACTGGAACTGTGATAATCTCGTGAGTCCCGGGCCTCCCGGCCATGACAAGATGACAGCTTAGAATAATCTCTATCATAATCATCTAAATTCTTGTCACGTCTGTTATGCTCATCATGCCTGTTATAATGATGGGAAGTCTTTGATATATAACGATCGAAATCTTTATATGCTCCACCACTGTGGCTATACTGACCCCTGCCAGAATCCCTACCTAAGTCCCTATCATCACCCTTTCTTCGTTTATCACCAGAAACCTCAGCAATATCCTTCCTGGATGGGATTGGACTAGAGCTGCGCTCAGAGTGAGGACTTCCTGGAATATAATAAGAAGCTACGCTAACAAAAGAAGCAGGATATGGACAAAGAAGTAGTAACATTTGGAACTGCAATTGAATTTGACAGTAACACATGACAGATAAAGAATCATTTTTCACCGAATTATTAGTCTAGGAGTACAAAAAAAATTATTCAGATTTGAAATATTGAATCCATGTAATAACAAATTTACAGTAAAACATTATACATTCATCATTTAATAACCCGATACCTATCAGATATCTCTGATGTGTCATGACATTATATGAAGGTGCAAATCAGACACTTCAGAATATACACAAAAAGATGAAAAACATGTTCACTATTACAAATTCAAAAGGAATGTGAATTCCATATTTCAGATTGGATGGCGAGTATGACCATCAAATGCTACATGCAATCCTTCCTACGACAGCATTTCCATTATTAAGAAGAAACTAACTCTAAATCTGCAAGAGCAAACTCCACACATCATAATTTATAATAACATAGCTTCTCTTAATAAAAAATTTTAATCTTGCAAATCCATCAAATTATTTACAAACTCCTGCACATAAAATCCACCCACCCACATGCATGTACCATTCATGGAGAATGAAACATTATCAATGACCAGAGCAATCTCCAATTTCAGTCACCATCACCCGGAAAAGAAAAAATTTCATAAAAACCAAATATCATTCACCTTCTCCTCACCACTGATCGATCTTAGATTATAAACAGACTAATTCAAAACTAACCATCATATGAAGACAACGACCCAGTAACAGGAGACCGGCGACGGTACTTCCTGCTAGCTGTATCATTTGAAGGCTTCCGAAACTCCGCCTTTCCATCAACGTTCTCTCGCTGAGAACTCATACTACCTAATTAACACACCAGCAAGGTAAATTTTTTTTTAATAAAAAATCACGTTTCCAATTAAAAATTAGAACTTACAGATAATATAAAAGATACATATATGTAAAACGTGATGAAAAATCAAAGAAAATCAACAGCACAGACAGATAGAAATAGCCACTGTGATTTAAATTTATGTACATATGTTAATGTATAATTGATCGACAAACCTAAATTAGCTTGCAATTTGAGGAGCAGCTCTTGTATGGATCGGGTTGGCTACTAGGGTTAGATTTCGTTCGTGCTTTGAAAATAAGCTGAAGAACAAAAAGAAAAAGAATAAGAAGACAGTGAAAACAGGAGATATTTTTGGAATTTGCCATGTGTACACCCAGTCTGCTCTCTTGGTTGACAATTGCATTATTGTCTAAAAGTGATAGAATGAAAAGATAGTTTTTTGTTTTTTTTTAACCATGCCAAGTTTGACGTGTCAAATTGTCATTTGCCAATTTAAGAGTTTGTTTGTGATGAATTTTAATCCAATTAAAATTGAAAATATAACCGTTATTGGGTCTCACTCGTCTAATAAAAGTCAACAATAACGATTAATTTTTCAATTTTAATCCGATTTTAATCCCTCCCAAACAAACTATAAAAGAAGAAAAAAAAAGCAGATCCTTCACAATGTTTTGAAAACAAATGGAACGTAAACAATGATGTAAAACAAAAAATGTACAAATAACAAATCCTATTTTTTAAGCTGTGGCAAAGTGTAAATAAGGATGTACATCAAGGTGTACACGAGCATGATTCGATTTTTTATGAGTCTAGTGGGATATTTACGATAGGAACCCCAATTTTTGGGAACTTTTTAGGTTCGTGCAATTTTTACATAAATTAGAACATGATAATAAGCAGGGAAAATTGTAGTAACGATTTCTAACATTTTTCAATTTTTGCAAATTTGATCTTAACCTTCAATTTGTATCAGCGAAAGTCCCTAACATTTCATAAATATGCAGCATATGTCTAAATGGATAGAAGCCATCCACTTGACTGTTATTGACCAAAAAATTAACCTTAACTACAATTTTGACTAATTTTAAAAGGACAAGATTATAATGTTACATTTTTTACATAAAATAATTAAATAAAAAATACTAAAAAAATAAAAGAAATTCAACCCAACCTACACTCATGAAAAATAGAATCGGTGGTCTGCACTTTCTTTCCCAACTCCTATCCACGTCGGTGGGGCAAAAGGTTGGTTGTCACCGCCTCCCAAAGACGGTCGCTTCCACCCAAATATCAAAATCAGAAATCAAATCAAACCCAGCAGAAATCGAAAAATTGGAACCTCATCTACGTGTGGAATTGGGTAGAATATGAAGCCAAAATTGGAGAGCTTTGTGACACAATTAGATCAATTGAGGGTATACCAATCATCATTCGGTGTTGCTGAGGAATTGTAGGTTGCCAATTTGGTGGGAAGAGAGCTCCAGATTCGTTAATTTAAGGAGATAGACTACCTCGTTTTGCTCTTGAGGCAAGCTTGTGTCAATGAAGTTGTTTTGGATGATATCTAACCATGAATTGGAGCACCTAGGTAAGGCGAATCGACTATCAATTGTGCACGATCGTGGGTGTCATCGGAGTTGCATAATTTTGTTGTTGGACCGAGCGATTTCCATGTTTTAAGGATTGGTTTTGATCTCCATACGATGTTTGTCCGACTAATTGTGTGAGATGTGTTTGTGGAATGAGATTGCTGGCTAGAAGATGAAATTTTGGCAAATTGGGTGATTGTTGTTTTTTTATGTATTGGGTGGGATGGGGGATGGGGATTTTTATTTTCTTTTGATTTTGATTTTTTAATTTAATTTTTAAATTATTTTAGAGATAATGTGCAAAGTTATCATTTTCTCCATTTTAATTTGGTCAAATTTTGACCTTTTTTTTTTGTCAACTAACGGTCAAGTGAATAGTTTTCATCCATTTGGACCTCTATTGCATATTTATGAGAGGTTAAGGACTTTCGTTGGCACAAATTGAAGTACGCAAAAATGAAAAATGTTAGAGAATAGACATATGTTCCACCTCCAAACAGTGCCTACCAAACGACATAGTGAAACTTCTTGTGCATTCCACCATTGAAGTGAATCAGTATAACGTGGTCTGACTAATGTTTCATCCAAAGTAGATGCTTCAAGCATAAGATTACTATGCATTTGAAACTCATGAAAAGTTAACATACACAGTGCGAAATATGAATTACACGATTCTATAATTTTATCTTGTACTCGCGATATTCATTTCAAACGTAAAATTCAAATTATTTTGAATTAACTTTAAACATTTTCCACTCAGCTTTAACTCTAGACATGGATCATCACCATAGCTAGAATAAATTTCATGTGAAATGACATAATACAAATTTGAAATTGATTTTTCCATTGCAACATAAATTTGGAATAATGGAGAATCATCAAAGCTTTGATAAGTATTTATCAAAGCGGATGACACAAAATGTAATTCTGATTCTTATATATTATTCGTTAGTGTTCATGAATTCATTTACTTAGACGCGAATATTTGATATTGTATATGGGAATATGATGAAGATGGATACAACTTGCTCTATTTTTGGTATTCTTCATTATCTTGACAGAAAATTTTGACAGACAACACATGACGTGAAATCATCGAAAGATGGATATAGAGAGAAAAAATACCAGTCATGCATCACCACACCGACATCGGTATGAATTCTGTCAACATTTTTCCGGACTCACGGTTTTTTTCCTAAATTCAAGTCTACTTGTCATCTTATGACGAAAAGTTCATTTGCTCATGTGTTAATAAATAATTTGAATATCGGAAGTGCTCGAACATGTTTGGTCAATTACAAATATTTTTTTATCTTATTACTACTTGGTATAAATTATTTATTTTAAACCTTTACTAATTGAAAAAATATTTATTTTGATACTTATTCACTTATAAGCTAACAATTTAAATTTATTCATAGTCGATGATTTTAATAATTTTAAAAAAAAGTCAAATAAATTTTCATATTCATAATAAAATAATTACAAGTAGAATGCGACGTAGGACGACTAGCATTATTCAATTTAAACTAGCAAGTAGCAACCTAGGATTTGGCTACTAAATGAGAGATCCCCAAATTGGATCAAACTGTAGGGATCCAAGAGTGATAAGCTGAAGAACAAAAAGAAAAAGCAAAAGAGAATAAGAAGACAGTGAAAACAGGAGATATTTTTGGAATTTGCCATGTGTACACCCAGTCTGCACTCTTTGTTGACAATTGCATTATTGTCTAAAAGTGATAGAATGAAGAGATAGTTTTTTGTTTTTTTTTTAACCGTGCCAAGTTTGACGTGTCAAATTGTCATTTGCCAATTTAAAAACTTGTTTGGGAGGAATTTTAATTCAATTAAAATTGAAAATATAGCCGCGATCTCACTCGTCTAATAAAAGTCAACAATAATGACTAATTTTTCAATTTTAATCCGATTTTAATCCCTCCCAAACAAGTTATAAAAGAAGGAAAAAAGTAGTGTCTTCACAATATTTTGAAAACAAACGGAACGTAAACAATGATGTAAAACAAAAAATGTACAAATAACAAATCCTATTTTTTAAGCTGTGGCAAAGTGTAAATAAGGATGTACATCAAGGTGTACACGAGCATGATTCCATTTTTTTATGAGTCTAGTGGGATATTTACGATAGGAACCCCAATTTTTGAGAACTTTTTAGATTCGTGCAATTTTTACATAAATTAGCACATGATAATAAATAGGGAAAATTGTAGCAACGATTTTTAACATTTTTCAATTTTTGCAGATTTGATCCTAACCTTCAATTTGTATCAGCGAAAGTCCCCAACATTTGATAAACATGCAGCAGAAGTCTAAATGGATGGAAACAATCCACTTGACTGCTAGTTGACCAAAAAATTAACCTTAACTACAATTTTGACTAATTTTAGAAGGACAAAATTATAATATTACATTTTTTTACATAAAATAATTAAATAAAAAATTCTAAAAAAATAAAAGAAATTCAAGCCAACCTACGCTCATGAAAAGAGAATCGGTGGTTTGCACTTTCTTTCCCAACTCCTACCCACGTCGGTGGGGAATAAAGGTTGGTCGCCTCTCAAAGAAAGTCGCCACCGCCTCCCAAAGATAGTCGCTTCCACCCAAATATCAAAATCAAAAATCAAATCAAACCCAGCAGAAATCGAAAAATTAGAACCTCATCTACGCGTGGAGTTGGGTAGAATTTGAAGCCAAAATTGGAGCAATTTGTGACACAATTAGATCAATTGAGGGTATACCAATCATCATTCGGTGTTGCTGAGGAATTGTGGGTTGCCAATTTGGTGGGAAGAGAGCTCCAGATTCGTTAATTTAAGGAGATAGAACTACCTCGTTTTGCTCCTGAGGCAAACCTGCGTCAATGAAGTTGTTTTGGATGATATCTAACCATGAATTGGAGCACCTAGGTAACGCGAACCGACTAGCAATGGTGCACAACCGTGGGTGTCATCGGAGTTGCATAATTTTGTTGTTGGACTGCGCGATTCCCATGTTTTAAGGACTAGTTTTGATCTCCATATGATGTTTGTCCGATTAATTGGGTGAGATGTGTTTGTGGAATGCGATTGCTGGCTAGAAGACGAAATTTTGGCTGATTGGTTGATTGGTGTTTTTTTATGTATTGGGTGGGATGGGGATTTTTATTTTCTTTTGATTTTGTTTTTTTAATTTAAATTTTAACTTATTTTAGAGATAATATGCAAAGTCATCATTTTGTCCATTCTAATTTGGTCAAATTTTGACTTTTTTGTCAACTAATGGTCAAGTGGATAATTTCTATCTATTTGGACCTCTACTGCATATTAATGAGAGGTTAATGACTTTCGTCGGTACAAATTGAAGTTCGCAAAAATGAAAAAGATTAGAGAGTATACATATGTTCCACCTCCAAACAGTGCCTACCAAACGACATAGTGAAACATGTTGTGCATTCCACCATTGAAGTGAATCAGTATAACGTGGTCTGACTAATGTTTCATCCAAAGTAGATGCTTCAAGCATAAGATTACTATACATTTGAAACTCATGAAAAGTTAACATACACAGTGCGAAATATGAATTACACGATTCTATAATTTTATCTTGTACTAGCGATATTCATTTCAAACGTAAAATTCAAATTATTTTGAATTAACTCTAAACATTTTCCACTCAGCTTTAACTCTAGACATGGATCATCACCATAGCTAGAATAAATTTCATGTGAAATGACATAATACAAATTTGAAATTGATTTTTCCATTGCAACATAAATTTGGAATAATGGAGAATCATCAAAGCTTTGATAAGTATTTATCAAAGCGGATGACACAAAATGTAAATCTGATTCTTATATATTATTCGTTAGTGTTCATGAATTCATTTACTTAGACGCGAATATTTGATATTGTATATGGGAATATGATGAAGATGGATACAATTTGCTCTATTTTTGGTGTTCTTCATTATCTTGACATAAAATTTTGACAGACAACACATGACGTGAAATCATCGAAAGATGGATATAGAGAAAAAACACCAGTCATGCATCACCACACCGATATCGGTATGAATTCTGTCAACATTTTTCCGGACTCATGGTTTTTTTCCTAAATTCAAGTCTACTTGTCATCTTATGACGAAAAGTTCATTCGTTCACGTGTTAATAAATAATTTGAATAAATAATTTGGTCAATTACAAATATTTTTTTATCTTATTACTATAAATTATTTATTTTAAACCTTTACTAATTGAAAAAATATTTATTTTGATACTTATTCACTTACAAGCCAACAATTTAAATTTATTCATAGTCGATGATTTTAATAATTTTAAAAAAAGTCAAATAAATTTTCATATTCATAATAAAATAATTACAAGTAGAATGCGACGTAGGACGACTAGCATTATTCAATTTAAACTAGCAAGTAGCAACCTAGGATTTGGCTACTAAATGAGAGATCCCCAAAGGGTAATGCTACATGTACACACACTTTTACACAATTTTTTACACCTCTTTCACATGGAGGGGGGTCCACGATTATTTTATTATGTGTGGGCCCCCCTCCATATGAGAGAGGTGTAAAAGATTGTGTAAAAAATTGTGTACACTTAGCATTATTCATCCCCAAATTGAATCAAACTGTAGGGATCCAAGAGTGACACGTAAATACAACATTCACCCAATAACGCTTTATAAACTGAAGTAGCGACGTCATGATATCAGTTACCCTTGAAATCTTCCCTCCCTACAACATTCTCTTCTGCGCACCCTCGCTGTTTTTCCGCTCTGTAGATCAAGAAAAAAGGCTTCTCACTTTACGAATTAAACTCCTATTTCACCAATTAAATTGCATTACTCCTCCGCCTCTTCGGTACCTTCGGTGCTTTGTTTTAGAGAAAAGATTCAGAAAAAGTAGAATATATTGCGGTAATGGTTACAGCTGAGTATTTTTAGGTACCCGTATGAGGTACCAATGTCTCTGTCTCTCTCTGTCTCTCTCTGCGAACCTTTCGGAATGTAAATCTTTCAAATAGTATTGAATTTTACTGTGGGCAGATTCGATGAGTTTTTAAAGAGACGGTGTTTATATTGGAATTTTCCTTGAGAATCGTTGTTGTCTTTTTGCTCGTTTTTCTTAGGTGGTTATTTGGGTAAATTCTCTTGTTAATAGCTATTTTGGGGAAAAGGTCAAGAGTTTGTTTTTGTCCAATTCTAATCTGGGTTTGTGTTGGAATATCACGATTTTGATTATTATTGTCTAAATTTAGCGTTTTTACTCTATTGACTGAAAAGGCTAGAAATTATTTGCTGAATTCTCATCCGGGTTTTTCTAAAATCCCAGGATTTCAGTGAGATATAATCCAGGCAGAGTTTCTCCCTGAAAATCCTGGATTTCTCCTGGGTTAGCTTTAATTTGGGTACTTCTCAAATTGATCATTCGTGATTGAACATGGTGAATAATAGCAGCAACAACAACAACAACCACCAAGATGACGGGGATAAGAACCCGTCAGGCATTTCTAGAGGTATTGGTGGTAGAGGGGGAGCTGCCAAATCATGGGGTACCACTGGGTCTGGACAATCAGTGTCGACTAGTGGCAGCGTGGGTTCCCCATCAAGCCGGAGTGAGACTGCTGTGGCAACTCCAGCCAATGACAGCACATTTATAAGGCTTGACAATCTGGACATCCAAGGCGATGATGCCGGCTCACAAGGGGCTACTGGGTGAGCCTAGGTCACTTCTTCATTTCTTTGCATTCATTGTTAGAGATCTATTGATTGCTGTTTTTGTGTGTGGCATTGATGTGGAATTAATGTACTTATTAACTTGTAATCGTTAGAGGCTTATTCCTTATGGTAGAGTTATAGCAAGCCATAGGCCAGCAATTATACATGCGGTGACTCTAGCAAAAGAAATATAATTACTCGTGGAATGAAAGATTGAAAATAATAGATATATTTTTTGGCTAAATGAATACTACTATTTTTGGCGGAGTTCGCTGGAGTTCATATAAATAGTTCTCTACTTCTCTTATATATGAGATAAATACTTGTGGAGATAGTGTGGTCAAATATGTGGTTTAATAGATTGATGGTACTCCATGATTTGATTTTTGGTAATAAATCAATAGTGGAAAAAGAATTTTAATATGTTTTGGCTTTAATTAGAGTAGCAAGAAATTATTGTTTGATTGTACCTATAGGATGATTTAAACGAGGAGATAGTTTATATTTTGCACTTAAATATCGTGTATGGAATGGATGGTGTCATTAATGTTTCCATGACTCACAATAATAGGTTCGCATTTAAATCCAGTGTCTTTATATTTCCTTTCCTTTCCTCTCGCTCCTAATTGTGACTAATATTAAGTTCTAAACAGAAACAAGAAGAAGAAGAAGAGGGGTCAACGTGCTGCTGGAGGGGATAAGAGTGGTAGAGGGCTTCGTCAATTTAGCATGAAAGGTTTTGTTTCTCATCTGTCCTTGTTCCTCTTGCTGAGAGGATGTGAACTTGATAGTTCATATTTAGTGATTGAATGAGTTCTAGATAAGAGTTACATACTGATTAGCTTTGCTGCTTTCTCTTGGGAATAGTGTGCGAGAAAGTGGAAAGCAAAGGAAGAACTACATACAATGAGGTCAGATGCTTATTAAATGTTTAATGTCATTTCTTATCATGCTGTTTTAAAAATAGCATTTCTGTAATCTCTCTCTCTCAGCCTGCAATATGTTTGGGTGCTTGTGTTTTTGGAATGATGAGTGGGTACTTCTGTTCACCTGTCCCGATTAATTTGTGCTATTTTATGACCTTTCTCTTGTTAAGCAAAATCCAAAATGTGGTATTTTTAACTTTGCTTGAAAAAGTACTGGATTCTTTTGGTGTAATAAGACTATTCCAATTCCAATACTAGTAAAGTGCTTATTAATTTTTTTTTTTGGAAGTCTGTGATTAATACCTAAATGGGCATGATTGTTTCTTACTGAGAAGAAGTATGAATGTTTAGATTGAAGGACGGCATATGCATGGTTCACCAAAATTATCATTGTTTGCTTGTATTTCACTTGATACAACTTTATAATAATAATAATAATAATAATAATAATGATAATGATAATGATAATGATAATGATAATGATTTACTGGTTTGCAGTATTGATGAGTTCTTCTGGAAAGTGGAAACTGGTAATGATATTTGACCTATGTTCCTTACGTAAAACCCAAATTGAGCTATTCAGCTACATACTAACATGTTATTCTATTTGATTGTCATGTAGTGTCTAAATCTAACTAACCAATGTCTCTCCAGGTTGCAGATGAACTTGTTGCCGAATTTGCAGATCCTAACAATAATATTGCCTCTCCGGACCAGGTTCATCGCATTTGTCATTTCCATGAGCTGTGTCTTGGGTAATTGTGAAACTTTTTTGAACGTCTCATTTTGATTGTTAAATATATGTGGCAGCAACAATATGATGAGAAAAACATACGACGAAGGGTTTATGATGCTCTAAATGTTCTGATGGCAATGGATATAATATCTAAAGATAAGAAGGATATACAATGGAAAGGTTTACCACGGACTAGCTTGAGTGACGTTGAGGAACTAAAGGTTCATTTTCATGTTTCTTACTTTTATTACTTCCCACCTCTCTTTATCAGTTATCTATTCATTTGCTATAAGCAAACCCCAGTGTGCAAAATGTTATTAATATGTATCAAGCAATGTAATCTAAATTGTGTATAACTGACTGCAGAATGAGAGTCTTGGAATTAGAAATCGGATTGAGAAGAAAGCAGCATATTTGCAAGAACTGGAGGAACAAGTAAGAATCTTTGAGCATATGCTGTTAGCTTTTATAGAATTCGATACAAGTTAATTTCTTGATATGCATCATGAATGAGGATACTAACAATTAGTAACGTATATAACATTTTGTCTTTTCTTCCCTATACTTGGCTGAAGTACGTAGGTCTTCAAAAGCTTGTCCAACGTAATGAGCAACTATATGGCTTGGGAAATGCTCCTAGTGGTGGCGTGGCTTTACCTTTTATATTGGTTCAGGTTCGTTTGCTAACAATTGCATTGTGATTATTGTTACGTTCATCTTTCAAAGGACTTTCAAATAGGTGTTTAATATTTCTCCTTCTGCTCTTTGCTACAAATGAGACTTTTGCATTCTTAGATTTTTCGTCTCACATGGTGCTGGTGGGACTGGAAGTCTGACATACGGTTGGATTTGGAAATTTGTGATTATGAAATTATTGTGTATACATCAGCATTCTGAAACGGGAGAAAAAAGTAAAAGAAAGAAATGTGAAATGTGAAAGCATATCAAATAAAGCTAATGATCTCAAACCCCTTGCCATCAAGAAGACTTTTAAATATTAAATTTGCATGTTCTGTGTAATACTCACCCCGTCCATCCATTCGTGTTTGAATAATTCCCTCTTTGATCAGTACGAATTCCAAATTGCCATTCAACCAAGGAAAAAACCACAATGAAGAGAATACTAGCATCTAACCCAAGCCCAAAAACCACCAGCAAGAAAACCTCAGATTCAAGTTCAGTTAATCCATAATCAGCACACCATCAGACCCATCACCCCATATGACTTCCAGATCCAAAGCTAAACAAATTGATATTGAAAAGTTCTATCCTCCATTTGACGAGTTGATCACCTTTTTCCACCTTATATTTTCATATTCTGGGGAGGGTTTTAGGATCAGTTCTGTTGTTTAATGTTGGAAACAGTGGTGGCTTGAAAGTTTTGGATGTTGCTTCAGCGTTTGAACTTTGGCATTCACTGGCATGCTTCTGATTGATTTTCATTTTTGGAAACTGTAGACTCGTCCTCATGCAACAGTGGAGGTGGAAATATCAGAAGATATGCAGCTGGTGCATTTTGATTTCAATAGGTACGGGAATCATTCGAGCAAACACTCCTTTAAATTGTGCAATATCAGCATGAAAGTATCTTTTTTCTACTGCTGTTGGCTATCAGTAAGCAAGTCTTGCTGCCTTGTCTTCTTTCCAGTGTAATACGTGACATGATCGTGTTAGTAATCGAGTCATGTAGTGTATATGAAACTATTGTTTTATGGACTACATAAGTCATTTTTGGCTATGCTTAAAAAGGTTTAATTATAATAAGTTTTAAAATAAACAACTTTTTTTATTGATAAAAATTGGAAATAAGTTGCTTATTTTGACAGCAACTCGGCGAGGTAAGAGTTACTTTCAATACATGTGACTTTTTCTTAGCAAGAGAATAGTGACTTATTCAAACATGTTCAGAAATACAAAGTTACTGTTGCTTTTTTTAAGCTCTGCCAACTAATATACACACACGTATATATATCATTGCAGCACCCCGTTTGAGCTACACGATGACAATTATGTTCTCAAGGCAATGAAATTGTGTGACAGCACTCGAGGTGATAGTGTGATGCAAAATATCCCTCTACATGGTGGTGAAAGCTCCCACATGCCGAGCATGTACCAGCCTCAACTATCTCATCCTCCAAGGTTAAATATATCGGGTAGGCCTCCGACCTTGCCTTCTGTTCCCGGAATATTAAAGGCGCGTGTTAAGCACGAGCATTAATTTGCCAGTTCAAGTAATGTTTTGTTTCTACATCTGTATATCTAGTAAAAATATTATGGGGAAAGCGGATGAATGTTTGTAGGAATTCATCACTGAAGAATTTTGTGTGGTAAAATGGATAATAGCAGGATTTTGCTTATTGCTTCAGGATCTATGAACTATAAAGCATTATTTTAGATTGTAAATACCTGATTTCACATATCCACTCCGGATATTTTATTATTATTTTGTCATTTTTTGACTTCTGAGTAAAAATGAAATTTCACCTGCAAGTAGTGGTGTCAAAAGTCGAGTTGGACTTCTACAAGACAGGGCAGGGCCGGCTGGCTCGTTTACGTACTACCTGCAAGCAGCAGCCATATAGGATTCATTGAGAATCTGTGTTCTAAAAGCGCTTTTAGTCATCACTACATGAAATTGAGGCTTCAATGTTTGACCTTATTATCAACCACGCTTTATGTTTTTTTACATCTAGATGAATTCTAGACTCGAAAAAGCTTGACGCTTGACTTTGCCATTGCCATCTAAACATGCTTTACTCTTGGTGTTCTGGATCTATTAGAACGTGATTATATCACTATATAAATGATAATATTCTAAAATGACTACATTTGAATTAAATTTAATCATATGTCATAAATAATATAAATATTACAGATACGTCCAAAATAAATAATTAAATTTTTGAACATTAGCGAGTAATTTTCAAGAGTTTTCTCAATACTATATAGTTTTTATTTTATTTTTTCTTTAATCTGAAAATTACAAATAAAACAATGAGTTACACAACTTTCAGAGTATGCTCGAGTGAAAAATAAAACCAATAAGAGTATGCTTAGCTAAGCTTGAAACTAAGTAAAATTTACTCCACTTTTTATTGCAAATATGTTAATAAATAAATATTTTTCTTCCTATAATTTCAATTGTCTCAAGTTTTTTATTTTTCTTTAAACATATCATGAAAAATGGTGCAATCAATCTTTTGTGCATGTAGATGAATATTAGACGTCAAATAAAGAATTTCAATTTTTGTCGTTCCCTTCCCTTCCAGCCCTAGGCACATGGACTTGCCCCATACATGGACTCACGATTTTGCGAAAACATGTGTTTTAGTTAAACAGTTGTCCAGGTCAAACTGAACGTGCTAATTTGGAACCAAACAGATTGGCATACAAGACAAAATTCAATCTGAAAGAGCACCTTCTAATGAGTAGAATGGCCATGGCATTAAAATTAAGGGAAGTGCATAACAAGAATCATTGTTAAAATGATATGCAAGGACCCCATAAATTTTTCATTTCATCCTTTACAACTCTTTTTCTATGGGTGCTTTTGCAAGGAGAAACTAAAGGTGGATAACCAAAAAATTTACTGGAAAATATCCAAAACCTAAAGCAAGTGAACTATTTGCATCTTCTCTTCCAAGTTCCCATGAAGAAATACAAAAACTAGAACTAAAAAGGCATCAAGATTGGCTTGAGATTGTGCTGGCCATCGTAACAAAACATCTGAATACTAATCGGTCATGGAATTGGGGTCGTGCTTTATGTACCATTTTGAAAAACCTTCTTCAAGAGCCTCTCGCATCCATGAGTGCTTGCAGCATTGAATAGCTTCAGGAATTTTCAACCAACTTCTTTGTCGAAGGCTCTTTTCAGGCCAGGACTCAAGTTCCTCTTTCACGAGCAAAGCATACATAGCAGCTTTACACAAGCCTTCTGGACTGAACTTGTCCTGAAGCGTTTTGCTCTTGAAAGCATAGAATCCCAGGAAGTGCTGAAACAGTACAGTCAGGAAAATCAATGAAGTAAGAAACCCCATGGCAGCAAAAAGATTGATTTCTCTTCCTTCCGTTGTTTAAATCATTAAATCTTGATAGGGTTACAGACATTGTAAACTATAACCAATAAAACAAGGTTAATAATATGAATTTTTTAAATCTTACCACCAAATCCCCTCGAACTCCAGCCTCTTCTATTGCTTCCCTGGCTGCTGCCTGCTCAGCCGTTTCATCAGTTTCCCACCCACCCTGTGTTGAAAAAAGATAAAAAGGCACGAGTAATAGGATAGTCTTGATATCTTTTTGTTATGCACATTTTTACTGCTTTAATATACTCATATCATAGGCATCTAGAGTTATAATGGGTGCATAAATATCTAGAAACCTCATATTCATTGAGTGACCAAATTATTTGAAATTTCATCCCCTGGAGAAAAGAAATCTTTATCCACTTTCGACTTATATTAATTCATACAAGTTTCCATTTACAATGCAAAATAACTCGTATAACTGCACAAGTGATGCCATTTTGCCTAATATTAATTAGACATACAGAATAGAATGGAATCCATTTCCAAAACTTGTCTTTCTTCTAATTCCTCAAGCACGCAAAAAAAAAATAATACTAATAAATCAAGTGTCACCAGAAGCCTTCAATTTACAGATAAAAAGAAGAATCCACAGCTCAAAGAGCTCTCGAGTCCATCCAAAATTCTGTGAATTATAACAGAGAAGGTACTTGATCACATAGCCTAAATCAAACAAAAAACCTTTTATCTCAAAACTATCCCCCAGTATATGCTGATGGAAAAATTCTTGCATTATTCTCCATCCAAATCACCCATAACATATTAGGTTTCCCAGCATTTTCTACTTAAACACAAAATTTAATCCACAATCTGGGTACACGATAGAAGTGCAAAGAGATAATCATAAACATATCCAGATATCCTTCTTTATGCCATTTAGGTTGTGAACAAGTCATTTCAAAATATCAAGAGGACACAGTGTCATGGCACAGCATTGATTTTAAGAATTGCGGCAGTTATCTACAAATACACTACACAAATTTATTGAATATGGAACTCTAAAGTTCAGAAAAAGAAGACATTCAAAGACAGTCCACATGCCATTTGGTTCCTCCTATATATTGGCTTCAATGCCAAAGGTATAAATTTGCCAAAAAATCTTCTCAAATACACATTTGTGGAGTCTCCTCAAATAAAACAACAGAGAAGGCTCATCTTTTAACAGATACGAGTATGAATAGAACACCATGTAGAGTAATAATGATCTAGTAAAATATGGTTTATGCATCACTAATTTAATGAGCATGAACACATGCCCACAACTCTCACCTTTGGAAATAGAAGACCGGGTCCACTAGTTGAGCTGATCATTAGCACTTCAACTATCTTCTTAGGTGTGTTGCCATCATTTTCTTTCATATTTACATACTTGAAGGGAATGCACCTGAGCAATGAATCAACTCGTGAGAACAAAAAAGGCACTGCATAGGCCAGCAGTCTTCAGTTCTTCAAGTCAGTGAAATAAATAAATAAGGACAAAAAAGCTTCTCATGATATTAGGATTACAATTTTGGGTAATCTTCAAAATGGAAACCCTTTTTGTTGGATGATCTAATACTTCCCGAAACTTCATTGGTACAAATATTCCTCCTTGTCAAAGTGAAAATATATGGATAATCAAAACAAAGAAAAAAAGACATGACAAACAATTGGAAAGAAGTAATCCCTTTCTGCTTTATCCATGTGCATGAATATTCATCTATATAGAACATGGCACCCAATTGTCAGTCCTTTCAAAGAAACTGAATAAGAATCAAAACAAATGTGGGATATATGGCACAACCAACACTTCAGTAGATGAACACGGTCAATCTAGCAAGCGTGAATTGGCTGAAAATTCTACTCTCCCACAGGGTCAAAACTCATATATGTTGATCTAAGATCGCCAGAGCATGCAGCGGAAACATTAATCTGCTTGTTGTTCAAGCTTTGTTCTGTTGTAGGTTTTTTATATTTATATACTTGTATTCCAAGTCTGATTCTTAATTAATTTACTTGAAGAGAAAAAAAACCGCTCCCAAAACAAAGTAATACAATGATTAAGAGGCAAGAGAGAGAAGAGAGGGGGAGCTGCTGCATGCCAAGAATACATTTAAAAGTTAAAAATTTTAAGCTTCTTCATGGCCCTCTGCATTTTTTTCATCCACAACTATAACAGATCCCTAATAAACCCAATTCAAAATCTTAGCACCGTGTGTCTGGCCCAAACACTCACTCAGACAACTTCGACATAACGGTATCCACTCTCTCCACCCTTTTTCATTCTTTTGAAGCTTCTTGTTTTAACCTTACACACTTTTTCTATAACAATAGAACAGAAACCTAAGAAATTGGAGAAAAACTGAATTAAGGAGAAAGACTATCCCATTCCAATTCATTTATACAAATTTGCCAGGTCCTTAACAAATACATGATCTATAATCAATAAGAAAAAAATAAAATGAAAAAATACTTCATAACCCAATTTCAAAAAACACCAGAAAGAAAAAGTACAACCAGAAACAAACAACATATAGAAAAATCAACTCTTTTAAGTTTTGATTTTGCAACATTTTGCTATCAATTATTTCCAATTCCACACAAGACCAATTTATAAAACTCATCATTTTTACCAAATCTCTTGTACAAAGACTAGTTGATGAAACTCCTATAAGATAAAATATTTACCAAAACTCATGTTTTTACTCATTCCTCTAGGAATTAAACAAAACACAATTGAGAATTTCATGCCCAATTCACAACTTTCTGTAGTCAAACAAAACTCAATTGCAACAACCTACATAACAATTCTAAACATAAGAAAAAGAAAAACCAACAAAACTGAATTCAATTTCCGCACATTATGGAATGTCTAAATCCGAATACAGCTACATATACATTCTGCATGTATGTCGAGAGAGGAAGGGTGAAAAACATACCCAGAAATGAGGCGAAAGCCACCTTCATAACGCTGCTGAAGACGACCAGTCCGAGCCACTAATTCAGACATTTATTTGCAAATATACTCTAAATTATCTTCAGGTTTCTCCCTCTCTATATACCTATACGTGGGTACGTATCACAACCTATTTTCCGATTAAGAATAAAAAATTAACTCCCAATATTTTTCCCTTTTGCTGGCACTAAAAACTCTGCATTGTTCAACTTCTTGTCGTTCTCCAAACAGAGCATAAACAATTTCTCGAAATTTTGAATCATTCTAATTTCTAGATGGAAAGGCAGCGAAAAATTTGGAGGCCCATTCGGGGAAGGGAGTTCAGTCAATTCTGGTGATTATTGGTAAACAAAATACTACGCAAATATTAAATTTTCTTCTATTTCTTTATTGGGTAAGTTTCGCAGAGGGGACGGGTTCTCGAACCTTTATAAGAATCTGTTCGGTTTGATGTAAAATATTTTAAAGTAAATTAGTTTTTTTTGGAGAATGTGAAATAAAAAGTCGAGAAAGCAATGAATTTTTGAACAAAATTATTTTATTTAAAAAAAGTATGATTATAAATAAGTTTTAAAAAATTTAAAGCAAATAACACGTCGGTCCACGCGCATTTGCTATAAGTATGATTATAAATAAGTTTTAAAAAATTTAAAGCAAATAACACGTCGGTCCACCCGCATTTGCTATAAATCTTGATGATTTTCATTCAATTGACGGTTAAAAATGTCGAACTTTTGATATAAAACCTAAAATGTGACTGAAAAAATATATATTTTCTAGAGTTTTATCTAAAACTCCTTTAGATATGATAATTCATCAAAAAATACATTTCATATACGTATTTAAATGTAATTATTATTATTTTTAAAAAATAAAAATAAAAGAGACTTAGATAAGCACTCAAACCAATTTTGAACTCGAGTGTCCACTTGTTAGACATCGATGTCGTGTAGATTGAAAGTTTTCGTTTTCTATTTTTTCTGTCACATTATATTGACAGAGTCCTTATCAGTTTGTAGTAAATGTATTTTTTAATGCCTTCCATTTTGTTTATCCAGAATTGCATTGGAGATGCTTTTACGAGAGACTAATTGATGGGATGGGTTTCATTTTCTTTATCATATATATTTTTTTTCAATTATTTTATTTACTTAACGAAAAGTAATGGAATTTTAACTTCATTTTTTTTTATCAAAAGTTGACATTTTTAACTGTCAATTGGATGAAAAACATCCAAAATGATCAATTTCGCCGAATATTGAAAGATTAAAGAAGTTAGAGCCATGACCTAAATGTTAAAGTCTATTTGCACAACAAACCCATAGGTTGAGGACCATTTGTGTCAATTTCCCTTTTAAAATTGTGGTACTCAAATCCCCAAGTAATTGTATTCACGCCACATTTAATTTCTTACACCGCAGTTTAATTGCACTTAAGATTCTTAATTTTTACCTATTACAACACTTATGTTCCTAATAATTTTTCATCTCATTCTTATCCTCAAACTTTTCATTGGTTAACGCATTTTGTATTTGATAACAATTTTATATCAAATATTTGTTCAAATGATGTAAAACAACTTATTTTTCTATCATAATTTCAAAAATAAATAAATAAAAATTATGGGAAAAAATGTTTTTTACTCGTTTCATGAAAACAAAATATTTTGATACAAATCATCATCAATGACGAGACGTACTAATTAATGGAAGATAAGCGATAATAACTTAACGAAAAAATTAAAAAATAATTGTTGCAATGAGCAAATGTTGAGAGCAACTCCAATGTGTGTACCAAACATCACTTTGCACTAAAAAATGGTGCAAAGCCCCTACAATGTAGCACCATACTCTGCATGCTATTCACTTTGCACCATTTTGCACCAAAATGATTAAGTACAATTTTGCCTTTCTCTTTTACTCTGTAAAATAAAAAAAGTTTATGTCCATTTTTGTTATACATTTTTAATACAATAAATTATTATTGTTATTATTTTGTGATTTTGTAATAAATTTTAATAATGTAATCAATAATAGTTAAGGAATTAATTTAAATAAAATACTCAAAAAATTTAAAATGTAACACACATGATTATTTAGAGTTAACACGAAATATATCACAACAATCACATACATCACTCCGGAAGTTGAGCTGGTTGAAGACGAAAATCATCGTTTTCAAGAATTTCTTGCTTATCATAGACATGAGTCGAGAATTGCTGTCCAACATTGAATGTTCAACTTAATGTTCACCTAATGATTCATAACACATCACTTTAAATTAACATATCTGTTATAATAAAGAGAGATTGGAGAAAGCCAATTAATTACAATCTATAACTTTAAAATCCAACTTTTCTCTTACCTTCACTTGTGCTTAAAAATAAGTGTAAAATGATGTGTTAACGAATCATTGATGAACAACATGTTGGATAGTCAATTTTGAACAGCAAATCTCAACTCCATAGACAAATCAACGATAAATAGGCTCACATTACATTTCGAAACACATTAATTGATCATTTGTCAGATGAATATATGAATTTTGAGAATTAAATTGCAACACTATTTCGACTTCGTAATATCATGATATTGGAATTCGAAACTCATTGCGTTATTTTCTAATGACATGATTTAATATTTTCTTATTTGTGTTGTTTTCATTAATTGTACTATTTTCTAAAATTTATTAATGAATTTAATATTTTTGTTAATTTAACGTAATTATTTATTTAGCCCTTGTTTGATTCCCTATTATTTTCAAAATATATTTTTCTCTTTTTTTTTTCAATCATATATTTTTCAATAAAATAATATTATAGGCAAATCCGAAACTTTTCTTATTTTTTAACCATACATTCTACATCAATCTACTATTGCAAAACGCATTTTTAGATTATAACGAGATTCAAACGGGCTCTTACTAGTTTATGTAGTTATAAAATAAATAAAAAAATTATTAAGAATAAAAAAATGAAGAAAGTGACTAAACACTGTTTATTTGGTATAAGTTTTGATGTAATTTGTTGGAGATGATTTTCAGTTGGGTGCAAGATTTTGTGTAAAATTGTATAAAACTTACCTCAAATTTTGGTGCATGGTTGGAGATGGCTTGAGAAGTTTAATTGCAATTAATATGGTGTATCAAATAAAAATTGCGGGGAAATATAACCATCCAATCCCCAATTAACTATTAGTTATTCAAAAGTTAAATCATAAATGAACACTCTCACTTGATGTCAGATTTATTCCAAACGATGGCTTCAGTTTTACTTGTGGATTGAGCGATGTTGCTAAAAGTTGATAAAAGTTAGTGGGTCACGTAAAATATGTGATGAAAAGTATTAAAAATTATGAGTCCAAAGAAATCTATGATTAACAATTCGGTACGATCAGTTTTCTAACAAACAATAGATTTACCAAACAAGTACTTAGAAATCCGAATAGGGAAATAAAATTATGTCTCCATCCTCAAAATCACATGAACTTCATGTGGCTAGGGATGAGAATTACCCATCCCGAATGGTAAACGGAAACATGATCTCTACCTCGTTATATATTTAAATGGAAAAACATAAAAATAAAATAAAATAAATAATTAACGGAACGATAAATAAGAATTTTAAACTCTTGCTCTCAACTATCCCCACCCACCTTTGAAAATCCCTGATGGGGCGAGGATGAAAAATATTCGTCCCGGCCCACAATGTTGTCATCCACACATGAATGTAAAAAATAGTAAGTTGGAGAAATAGGTATCGGACTTTCATAATATAGGAAACCCTTGGAAGAATTGACCCATTTATTGTACGAAGTTCTTGTTATTGATTATACAATTACCATAGTTCAATTTTGTCAAGCCATCTTCCCATAGTCCAACAATTTGAGGTAAAACCACCACCTTTTTGTCCCTCTTTAGGGAAAATAAAAAAAGTAGAAAAGAGCCAATTTTATTTTACTGATAATTTTGTTGCAACTTATTTGATTTGAAAGAAAAGCATGGTTTTCTTGTTTCATAAATAAGTTTTGGTTTAATTGTTGATTCATTAATAATGAATAGATGAAAAAATAGAAGGAAAAAAAATAAATAATTATCATAGTTTCAAAATACACTTTCAAATTTAATAAACGTGTAGAATTATTTGAAAAATCAAGTGCCTATTAAGAGTAATGTTAATGCCACATTGACGCCACATTTAATGCCACATTGACGCCACGTAAACTGTATTTTTATCTCCAGTGGGGATGAATAGCACTACTCATTAATTAAACAAGTTATGATTACGATAACACAAAATTTATGACCACAATCACGTACTAATCACAAAAGGTTGCAGTGACAAAAACATAAATTGTGGGCCAGAATTACAAATTTAGTTGTAATTACGCATTTTTATAAGTAACAAATTATTAAATTAATTGGTCACAATTACACAATTAACTGGTTATAATCACTCTTCACCCACCCCACTTCAAGTCACCTTGACTCCACCGCCACGCGAATCATTGACGCGACCTCAAATCGACAAACCCCTACCACCAAAACCACCAGCAACACCTCCACTTCCATCGTACAACCACCTGTACCACCAGCACTTCAAGTTCAGCACACAACCACCAGCACCACATTCACCTCCATCACACCACTACATCTCCATTACCTACACCTCATCTATAACCACAGACTACCACTGGCACCACCCAAATGTAGCCGCCACCAACACCTGCACTTCTCTCTTTCCACACAAACACTCACAAAAAATGCAGAGGTAGTACACTTTAAGAAAACTCTATGAAAAAACACTTTAATTGAACCATAATATTTGAAAACTATAATGTTGTAGACTTGAACTCGTGCCTTATTCCAGATTTCAATTAAGAATTGACTTAATTGCAGGCTTAACTAAAAGTTTACATAATTGCCGGCTTTGACAAATTTTAAAATATAAAAATTGTATAATGCTATCTGTATATAATGGTTTACAGATTGATTTATAGAATGATGATGTTGATTATATTAACTGACTTCTATATTTTTTCATTCTCTCTTCAATGTCATTATTGTGTATATAAATCTGTAAATCATGATGTACAAACATAGTTGCTCATAAAATGTTCTTTTTCAAAATTAAACTTTGAATTTATAAAATTAAAATATAAGTTTAATATAACATTATCATGTCCTTTTCTTTAAATGACATTTCTACTCGTCGTGTTGTATCGCCTTCCATTTCCCGATTAATGTTTTTGTGCCAAAAAAAAAAAATCAAAAATCAAAAATAAAAGAGAATTTAAGGTCAAATGAATCCATCCTCTTGCTCAATACGTTTCTTAATGACATAATATGGAGTTATCATCAATATATTTTTCCTTTGAAATACAATCTTGGACCTTTCCCAAAACAGGAAGAAATTTGTGTTCATATTTCTTTTTTAAATTGAAGGCAGGATAAACAAAACTAAATTGTGCAAAATAAATATAAATAAATTAAAAAACTCGATCTTTCTGACATTCTAACAGAATGTACCAAGTCAAACACATAATATTGGACAAATCAGTAGTTAAACAGCAAGAAATGAAACATCAAGTTGCCTAATTAAAAATGAGAATGAACATGATCAAATATGGCAGATAGCCAAGAATAATTATAGCAAATGGATAACCCTAAATCCGCTCATCTTTCCAAATGTCAAAGAACCTCAAATATTTAGCAGTTGAACAAGTCATATGTTGGATCACTGAGAGATGACGTACTTATTAAATTTTTTGGACAAAGAAATGCATCACGCAACAGCAATCATTTTCTAAACATAGTCAAGTTAGATTTTCTTGGTTCAATATTATCCAAACTCCATGATCATAGGTCGTGTTTTATGGATTTCCCATTACATTAGCATAATCCCAATAAAAGAAAATTGAAAATGTAGATGAGAAGAAGACAAAAAAATGTGAAATTTGTTTGGTTTAGATTTTTTGTATTTGTCTTAGGTTGTCTGTCTTCTCCTTCCCATTTTCTCGAGCAAGAAATTTTGCCTTTTTTTTTCATGGCTGATCAATGTCCATGTGGCTCATCTTTCTTCACTTAGACACTCAGATTTCAATGAAAATTAAGAAAAGATAATGATCTGCATTGTGAAAAGAAGAAAATCTGTATACTTTTATTAAATAGGAAGATAAACCTGCCTAATTAGGCATGAAGGCTTGGGAGGCGACAGTACGTAAAACGCAGGCTGCAGCCAAGAAGCGTGCCAACACGATATTTGGGACGTCTTATGCAGTAGGAAATGTTGAGGAAGAAAATGAAGATCAAGAAGAAGAAGAACATACAAGTGGAGAAGTGTATCATGCAGAGAGATTTCTCCCCAATGGTGATTATTACACGGGATATTGGTCCGAGAATTTCCCTCATGGATATGGAAAATACTTGTGGACGGATGGTTGTTTGTATGTAGGCGACTGGTTTAGAGGCAAGACAATGGGAAAAGGTACGTTTAGTTGGCCATCAGGGGCGATGTATGAGGGTAGCTTCAAGAGTGGTTTCATGGATGGAGAAGGTATGTATACGGGACCGAATGGGGATACTTACAGGGGCTCTTGGATCATGAATTTGAAGCATGGTCGTGGTGTTAAGGAATATGGAAATGGAGATAGTTATGATGGCGAATGGAGTCGAGGAGTCCACGAAGGAACAGGGAAATATCAATGGAAGAATGGGAATTATTATGTAGGGAAATGGAGGAATGGAACCATTTGTGGGAAAGGGAAAATGTGTTGGGCTAATGGGAATGTGTATGAAGGGAATTGGGAAGATGGATTGCCTAAAGGAAATGGAACATTTAAATGGGTAGATGGGAGTTTTTATGTAGGGATTTGGAGTAAAGATCTGAAGGAACAAAGTGGGTCTTATTATCCATCTGGATCACTATTGGAAGGAAATCTTGAATGGGATCCTCAAGAAGTTTTTAACACTGATTTGAAAGACTGTAAGGTTTGTCCTGGTGAAAAGGTCCTTGTATGGCCATCCCAGAAAAAGCTTGCAGTTTGGAGATCTACAAAGGGCTCAGATACGAGCGTTAGGCCACGAAGAATGTCGGTCGACAGTAGAATAGATGCTGGTATAGATAGGGATTTCGGTCGAATGCGGTTGTCTGATGCTGCGCCTTTGCCTCCGGGTTCTGTTCGGAATGGAATGGCCGGAAATGACTCTGATGATGGTTTACAGCTTGACTGTGTAAATGCAAGAGGCAGCCCTCTAAGGATACCTAAAGTAGTGAAAAAACAAGGAGAGACAATATGCAAAGGGCATAGGAATTATGAGCTAATGCTCAATTTGCAGCTGGGAATTAGGTATGATTTACTCTTCTGCTCCAATTTCATCAGATCTTTCTAATACCTTTGGCGTACTTGTTCATTTTTAATGTAGCTGATATAAAATTTATACCGAAATTTTCTTCAAGAGGAGGGTACGGAATCAGACTGATTCCCAAAACGCCTTTCTGGATATTAGGGAGACTATACATAGTAGGAATATTAGGTCGATCAGCATACAATTGTACAGTATAATTCGACGAACAGAGTCCAACACAAATGAGAAATATGAATGTCATTCTCCTGATCTACTTACATTGTTTCTACTCCGAATCGAGACCTATACCTTTTGCTAACTTCACAGGCATTCTGTTGGAAGGCCCGGTCCACCTCCATCGCTTGATCTGAAGCCATCAGCTTTTGACCCCAAGGAAAAGTATTGGACAAAATTCCCTGCCGAGGGATCCAAAATTACTCCACCTCACCAATCCTGTGAATTTAGATGGAAAGATTATTGTCCAAAAGTATTCAGGTAAGGTCTTGTTCTAAAATGACTGTCAAATAAAGCCTGAATTGCTGATATCGTCATGTTTGGTTGTTCTTAAAATTAGCTTAAAATCTACTTCTTGGGCAAGTATCGAAATTCGAATTAGATTCTCTGCATTAAAAAATTCAAAATCATAATTTCGTGCAAAAGAACGCTGACGAATTCTTAATTATTGGTCATGATAATTTTTCAGGACTCTGAGGATGTTATTCAAGGTTGATCCAGCAGATTATATGTTGTCAATATGTGGTGATGATGCATTGCGTGAACTTTCTTCCCCTGGAAAAAGTGGAAGCTTCTTTTACTTAACTCACGATGATCGTTATATGATAAAGACAATGAAAAAAGCAGAAGTAAAAGTGAGAATTCCTAATTTAAATTCACTTAAATGCACGAGTGAAATCAGTAAACAGATACATTTATCACTTTTCCATTTCGTCTTTAGGTTCTATTAAGGATGCTAAACGCGTATTATAATCATGTTCGTGCATTCGAGAATACCCTAGTGACAAAATATTTTGGGCTGCATTGTGTAAAGTTGAATGGTCCTGCTCAAAAGAAGGTATTATCAGGAGTAGATATATAAACATTGCTGCTACAGGGAAAAAAATTTAATGTGATTGATGATTTAGGTGAGGTTCATCATCATGGGAAATCTCTTCTGTTCCGAGTATATGATCCATAGGAGGTATGATTTGAAGGGCTCGACTTTTGGCCGACTAACTGATAAACCCGAGTCAGAGATTGATGCTACGACAACTCTCAAAGACCTTGATCTTAACTTCATCTTTCGACTTCAAAAGACGTGGTTTCAAGATTTTCGTAGGTAAAAAACTCGGTTTTATGCCTGTCTCGTCATGTTGTCAAGGTCATTTCCATTTCGCTTCTCAGGATTTTTAGGAGAGGTTAATCGGAATATTATTTGTTTCTGCAGACAAGTTGACAGGGACTGTGAGTTTCTTGAACATGAGAGAATTATGGACTATAGCCTTCTGGTTGGTCTCCACTTCACAGAAGCGTCACTTGATGACCATACTTCCTCCGGTGCTATAACCCCCGTTGGTAATTACTAATTTTCGACATTTCCATTTTACATATTATCAAGTTCATGTTTGATATGGAATATCGGACATGACTAAACAATTTCTTTTATCATGGTTCAAAATCAGAATTTTAGTTTCAACTCTCATTTAGATAATGGTGGCTCGGAAACTGACTCAATTTCGTGTCTATCAAGAGCAAATGTGGATCAATTGCTTCTAGACCCCGCAGGGTAAGATGATTCTACATTGAAATGTGTCATTTGCTCTTTATGATTGTACATGTTAAACTACCTCATTTAAAAGTTTATATGGTTTAGAGGGACAATTTTATTTGACTCACCTCTTCACAAGCAGTTATTTTTCATCTAATGCGTGTCATGTGAACATTTTTCATAAATAGATACCACAAGACACCCAAGTATTTTGGCTACTTTTGATATCATGTTGAACCACCTCGTCGAAATACTTTTAGACAAAGTGGTTCAGCAGTATATTCAAGTCAATATTTTAATGTTAGAAATCGAAACGGATGGTGAAAAAATATTCCTGCAGCCAACCCCAAGTTTATTGGGAACGAGACTTCGTTTGTTATTAGTCAAGCATTGGCTCGTTAAATTTCACTCATTTTTCATAATCATGTACAAACGCGTTCGAAATCTTTTGAGTGCAGGTGGGCAAGTATAAGATTGGGAATCAACATGCCAGCAAGAGTTGAAAGAACTGAGAGGAATAATGACATTGAAATCCAACTAGTAGGAGAACCGACTGGGGAATACTATGATGTGATTATGTTTTTTGGTATCATAGACATTCTGCAAGACTATGACATTACAAAGAAGCTTGAACATGCATACAAGTCCATCCAATACGATCCTAACTCAATCTCGGCTGTCGATCCTAAGCAATACTCGAGGCGTTTTCGCGATTATGTACTCGGAGTTTTTGCAGAAGATACATAAAACATCAACCTCCTCTGCAAGTTATAAGGGATTATTTGGGTTCCCATTCTAGAGATTAAGAGGGATTATTACAGCATATATACTTCCATTCTTTTCATTCTTCAATTTTGATGTAGATATAAGCCATTTTTCTTTCACGCTAATCAATAGGGTCTTCCCTAATCTCTTTTCCCGAGAGAGAGTGTCAAATTCTTTAGAGATAGTCACCCAGTTTAGGCTGGTGGAAGTATAGGAATAGCAATCAGCATAAATGTTTTCTATTTGTAAAATATTTGCAAAATATATTTTTCAAAGAAGCAGTCACTTCTTGATCATTTCCATTTTTCTGTAGAAAACTGTAACAAATTAGGATGAAGCCAGAGCTACACAAGAGAATACATACATGTTCCTATGTTTTAAATGTATTAACAACGATAATTTAATACAAGCAGTGTTACAAAAAGCTCTCTTGGGCTCGAAATTCAAGCGCCTAGGCTAGGCGCTTTTTTTTTTTCAATTTTTAAACGGCTAAATTTTTTCTTTCATCTCTTTCGTCTTCCATAAGCTCGCTTTATTAATTTTTTATTTTTTTGTTCCTTTTTTTGTTATATAAGTCTTTTATTAACTTTGGTTGATTAATTTTTTAAATTATTTTTTAAAAAACCTATCATTTGACTTCAATTTCAAATTTTTAAAAGACTATATGTACAAAAATTAAAAATGATTTTATCTGTACAAAAGTTAAAAATGGCTTTATTCGATAAAGAGTTAAATAAGATTTAAATTACGGTACTATCTACATTATGAAATTATAATCTTAAAACTCGTTATTTTGTTGAAAACTTTCAAAGCGCTACTGAATTTCCTATAATTCTATTAAGTATGATCTATTTAGTTGATCATTAAAAGTATGAAAAATAGTCTAATTTATGCATTTCAAAAAAAATAAAAATTATATAATTAACTGATTGCTCAAATTATTAAGTAAATATATATTTTGTAGCATTTGTTTGATGAAGATTAAAATTATATTTTGATAAAAAAAATTGAAATATATGGTTAAAAAGTTATATGACCATCAAAACATATAATTAATATGACAAAACGATGTTGTCTAATGAATTTAAGATAAATGACTGTGGTAAGTATGTATACATAAAACATACACTGAAAGCCTGTGTGATTGTATGTCTATATGTAGATGACATGTCTATAATGTTCAATATTGTTTCACTTCAATTTAGATTAAAATCTAATTTAAATTAATATCAAACAAGGATATAATTTTAAATGTTTGATATGTATTATTTTAATTAAAAAATAATTTTTAAAATAATATTAAAAATAAGAAAATATTTTCTTATGTCTACACCTCACCTAAGTTTGTAAAACTTGAAGCTCCATCTTCATGCTTCATGTTTTTTAAAACACTGAATACAAGTATCGTACAACACAAAATAAGATGAGGTGAAAAAGTACAATGAGCAAGATTTGAATTCTTTATTCAATATAGTAGTATCTAATCCTCTTACGAATCATGCTCTTTAAGATTTCATTTTTTCATTGAAGTTCTACCCAAAGACAGGCCTGGAGAGCTTCAAAAAAGGTCGAAGAAACTAGTAGAATATTGGATAGGGCGGGACAACCAAAAATAAAAAAAGTAGAATATATGATAGTTGCATCACAAGAACCACCATTGATCCCAAAGAAATATGCAACACCACATTGTATCTCATAAGCAGTAAAGCATCCACAAGAGTTCTATGTGACGCGACATTTTTACAAATCAAAACATCAAACGTGAAACTTCACATACCTTGTATGTTTCTAATTTCATAGTTATTTCAGCCTAACATCCTTAACATACTCCATTATCGCAGAAACTTTCCAATGAGTTTCTCACACTACATCATTCCAGAACTTCAGGCAAAGCTTGAGAGTAGACTGCCGAGGATATAACTTGAAAGTTTAGCTGTTGAAATGTCTAGTGCGGCTTCAAGCAAATACCACTAACAATCAAGTTGAGCATTTTAACCTAGCAAAATATAATAGCCGAATACTACTATTGATTCCATCCAAATGCCTACAACTGCTGGGAATATCCCAATATTCCTGAAGAGGGGACACTGACCAACCAGACAAGCACTCCTGCATGTAAAATTACCAGTTAAATAACCTATTGACTTCATAAGCTTCATGCAATAGGTCTGGAAGCTCGCCAAAGCTGCATATAAAACTAAAAAGACATCAATACAATTTACCCAGAGTGTAATACGTGATACAAGAATTGAAGAGGGCGTCCAACTAGAGAAAGCAATGAAACATAAAAATGACAAGAGGTGTAAAAGACCAAATGAATACCATTTTAATTCGCATTGTGAATAATCAACCTTAGTTGAATTCTCAATATAAGACCAAAATTATGGGGTGCGCTAATAAATTGACTCAAACCTACATTATTCAATGAAATACAAGCATATCCTTCTGCACGGAGTTTGCTAGTGGTATGATGACACTCCAGCCATAGCATGGTTTGAAATATCAGAATATGGGTCTCCAAGCTAAATCCATTCTCTAATCTCCATTCATTTCATTTTTCCCTTGAGGGGCAATTGCTTTTGCCTACTGTTTTTCTAAATAAGGTTTACAAATGTCCAAAATAGTTGCAAAAGGCGAACATCTATTTAGCAATTTGCTACAATCTTCATTTAGTAAAGTTATCAAATCATTGTGATATCAAATAACTCCATAGGCCAAGCTATACACATTCACCAAGTAACAAGTGCATCAGTGCACAGGAGAGAATATACTGGCGGCGAAGTAGTATGACAGCATTATCAAGGAGCTGATTGGCAATATCTCTACATTACAAAACAGATCGTATTGTAGGAAGTCAAGCTCTTCATCTTATTGCAAGATATAGGAAGGAAAGACAAATATAGTGACAGTTGCTATTTAAGGGATAAAATGAGCACTCTCTTGTAAGGCTAATGGTGAATATAGTTGGTATTCATCTTGCAAGAAAAATACACAAGCACACAAAAGGTACTCAAAGCAAGATTTTATCGCACAAATAAAACACGAGATAGAGAAGGCACTAATAAATTCAAAGAAGATAACAGTAACCAACTGCCACATCCATTTCTACCAAACAACTAGTCTACCAGCGGAAAAAGCAAATGGGGCACAGTACTGTTAGGCAGACCCAGTCTGTCCTCTATCTTCAATCAAGCCAAAGTAAAAGAGAAAAAGATGTCGGAACTCTCAATCAAGAGGGCCCCTAAATGATCATATATGCACACATTAGGAATTTAAAAAATGGAGTGAGAGGAACAAGAAAAAAAATAAAAGCAAGAGATCAAACAGCAAGGCCAAAGATTACAAAATCACTTAAACAAAAAAATAATTGTTTACCTAGAGCTGAAAACCACAGTTGAGAAAAGAAAAAAGAGTTCCAAATATGCCGAAAGAAAGGAAGAATGTAACACTCAGAAGAACAAAAGCATTCAGTCAGTATACAATCAAAATAAAAGGCTACTGTGTTAGATGTTTTGATTTTTTTATGTAATTTGAAAGGAAAAACCCAATTTCAAAAGGAAAAGCCAATTGACAGAGAGAGACCTGTTCAAAGTCAGGTGCCTGCAACACTCCAACACCAACCATGCTCCCCAACAAACACTTAACAACATGGAAGATTCAAAAGCAATGGTGGAAATGATAGCAGCACGGCCATGGATATTTGTTGCGTCAAACTGTTCAAACCTTAATGCATTAAGAAACTTTGATGAGGTAGAAATTCAAGTGGAGCATCTCAACATAAAGTCAATTTCGAGATGGTAGGAAACTTCCCCCATCTATAGAGAGAGAAGGAAAAAAATAATGATTTGAAGACTAAAAGCTTAAGAGGCAGAATACACCTTACCATCTATGCTCCCCTAATCATCTCACACAAAGAAGTGACTTTCCAAAGGAGATTGTCCTTGATACTTTTGTGGCCTGGCGTAATGTTGATTTCCTCCATGAATTTGTTGCTGCTGCTCCTGGTACTGCATCAAATCCTCTGGCAACTGATAGTCGAGCCAGCTTTTCTGGTTTTCACTCTGGGCTTGCATCATAGAGACTTGCTTCCCAGGGAAAGGGAAGTTTGTCATTCCCATTGAACCACTGTTCTTGCTCGCAGAAGGGAATGTTGGTCCCACATGATTAATGGAATTGTTAAATCCAGCACTCTGATTTGAAGTTAACTCGTATCCATCTAGCCAGCTATATTCGTTTATTTGAGGGGTTGAATGATTTTCATTTTTCAATGTCATGCTGTTCAATGACTCGTCCACAGATTTAGAAGGAATGGAACCAAAGCCAGGTGGGGGCCCAAAATGCCGAGCAGGTCGACTCACAGGATTCTTTTTTATGCCTGATGATATGGCTGGAGATGGTTTGACAAACAGGCCATCAGTAGCTGCTCCGGGGGACATAATGGAATCAAATTTAGATATTACAGCAGTTTGTGAAATCTGAACAGGATAATTATGTCCAGTATCAGTGTTGGCAAATCGAGGGTAGGGAACAGCAGAAGCAGCAGGCTGGGAGACTCCCAATTGATCTTGCAGAGAAGGTTTCATAAAAGATCCATTTTCCATCAAACTCAATTGGGACAAGCCATTCGCTGTTGGACTTTGTTCCACCAAGTACTTCGAAAAGCTAGGTTGGACTGGTAGCATATACTGAGAAGTGCAGTTAGCAACAGCAATAGATCGTACTGTGCTTGGAGCACCCTGTAAGAGGAAACTATCGTCTCCAACAGAAAGGGACCCATTTTGATTCCCACAATGAACCCTGCCATCACCAGCAGTGGAATCAGGAACCTCTGAAGAAGTTAACTTTGAAGTGAATTCATTCACATGCTTCTCACTCTTAGATGGCTTGAAGACAATAACCTCGTCGTCTTCCTCTCCTTCAGAATCAACCTCCAGCTTGGGCATAGCAGCTAGAGTCACTTGGCCCTCAACAGAATTTTCTAGCGAATTACCATTTAATTTGGGATCTTCTAAAGGGCTGGTGGGTTCAACACCGATCAAGAATTTCTTCAACTTCGTGTCAAAATATATTCCCTCCTTCCCAATCCGGACCACATTTGCAAGAGCCTTTCCAGCTGCAATAATCCTCTGAATGCAGGCTTTCTTTTCCTTATTGCCACCATCACTTCCAATACTATGCTTCCTTGAAAAATCAAGGATAACTTGAGCAGGAAGAAGAGGAAAGAATCCTCTCAATTCGAAGTCCTCAGGCAATGCAAGACGATTAGCAGTCTCAGATTCGTCGTATTTGCTTGCATGGGAGAAACCATCTTCACTTTCACCAACAAATAAATATCCACTTGATAAGAGCTTATTAAAGAAGGCGATACAATTGTTCCAAAAAAAGGATCTAACATTCACTTGCTTCTCCTCCAGACCACTGTCTACTGAAACATTACTGTGACAGGCTAACCATTCTACAAAAACCATGATACCAGGCAATAAAAAGCTCGATGAAGGATCACTCAACTTGTTACAGCGTTCAAGTACATAACCCATAAATTCAAAGGTAGCAGTAAATGCATTATGAAGCAGGACTGAACGCTGTAGGATATCAGCATATGATTGGTTTTCATTTTCCTTGCTCACATCATGAACAATAAATATGAGAATGGTGATGAATCTGACAATTACTAGTCTACACTCTGCAGCATCAGAACCGAAGTTCAACACCTCATCTGGCCCAGAAGAAAGAAGTTCTAAAAAATCATTTTTAACCATTGAGAAGACTTCCTCAAAAGTTTCCAAGCTGGATAAACACGAGAAAGGAATAAGCATCATTGAATTGTTATTCCAATGTCACAATAGACTAAACAATGAAAAAATTCAGAACAAACCTTGTCCGCGTGAAAAGAATGCCATTTAGTCGAACAAATCGTGTGATGAAGGCTTTCAAAAGATCAGCAACGCTGGAAGCTCTTTCCTTAACTGAACTTACTTCCACTTTATTATCTTTAATAGAAGTCCTAGTTTCACCTTTACGTCTGCTGTACCCCGGAATCCTTGAAGGTGCTGCCTTCACCAAAGTTTTAGCATCACCAAGTAGCTGGGTATAACTCTGACGATTCTGCCAAAATAGAGAAAACTAATGATGAGAACAATGGAGTAAATGTGCCATTGGTTGACAGGAAGGTAACAAGAATCTTGAAGAATTGAAGCAAGAAAAGAGGTCCTTGTCCCATAGTAATACTTGATCAAATGGCACCTTCTACTTCATGTTTCGTTCTTATTGGGTAACAAAACACCAATTTCAATCACAAATGCTATTCTCTACTCTTGGGAATAGACATAAGAAGTTAAGCCTAACACTAGTAAAAGGGATAATTAACAAGTGAAAAAATGAAATCATAGATATATACTAGGTTAAAGGTCAAAATTTTAATGAACTTAACGTCCTCGCACTTGTTCATATACTGAATAGTTACCTTTTCGAATGCAATGATCAGGTTGTCCCTTGCAGTAATGAAAGGATTCTCAACTGCTAGGCTTCGGAAGTAGCGATATATTGACACCAGTTCATCATTTGAATATCCTGCCAGTATAGCAACCTGAAAAAATTAACTACAAGTTAATAACCAAGCAGGACAACTATATCCAAAATATAAGAAGAGGCAATTAATGACAAAAGTTACCAACTAAAAACCACTATGAAGTTCGAGAAGGGTTTACCTGGTGATGTGGATTACCACTAGAAGGCCAAAGTGAAGAAGCTTGCATATAATAACTGGATGCAGCTGCAAACTCCCGAGCTTTAGAGTCTCCTTCCCCATATAAGCCCTTGTATCGTGCAAGATCCCCCAGATAAATCAAACAGCGATGACAGGATATCAATCCCTTATTCCTCTCAGAAGATTTATTTCCATGTTCCAACGAGGAAATTTGATTGTGTGGATCATCGAAAAAATTATCCAATGGCAGACCATACTTTACCCTTATCTTCAACATCAAATCATGATAAAATCCGGTGGCCTCAGAAAGAAAAGCCTTGAGCTGGGAACGGATTTTGGTCAGTCGATCAGGTCCAGCTCGGGACGGAACTTTCCCATTCTGGGGTGCAGCTGATCCTGCTGAAGCTAGAGCAGCGTTGAAGAGCACCCGTAACTCCTCAATTCTCCTGTAATGCAACTGCCACAAAGCATACTCCACGTCGTTTTGTTCAGAAAAAGCATGGTCTTCAAGGACAATAGCCTCATAGTTTTCACGCATCTTTTGCCATGCATTTGGATCTGAAGGGACTCTGGCTTGGGCGGCTTTCCTACGCTTGGTCTCCAGCTCAACATTCTATGGTGGAATGAGAAATCAGTCAAGGAAACATATTCGGTTAAAGAGAACATAACAATTATATTTTTTTCAAAAAAAAATCAACTAAACCAAACAAGATAATTCTGCATTTGTAGGAATGGTTTATCTCGATGAGGTAATTGGATGATTTTTCGAAGGTAACACTTTTGGCCATGTTCTAACAAAAGAAGCGTAATCTTGGCCACATTGTACTACACAAGCATTCACGTGCAGAATGCAAGACTAAAGCACACATATACCTTGTTGAAGAGGCGCTGAACACGTTCCCTTGACGAATTTTTATTGTAATCATCCATTGGAACAGCCATCATCCATCAAACAAGTGTTGAAAAAATCAAGTCCAATCAATGAAACTTCAGAAGCAACAAAAAGTATTTAATCTACCAGGAATTTCCTGCAGCAAAGCATACTTATTAGCAAAATGATGCAAGTGAATGATATCCCAAATCATAAGAGTTAGTCTAAACAATACGACCCATGTCATAAAAAGTGCTCCCATTGTTTAATAAATCTCAAACGCCTCAAAGCACGGCAAGCAAAAACACATTAAGGCACTGATTGTATGGCATTTTCTGGAGACATGCCTCAATGCTTGTGAGGCACACACTCTTTAATTCTCTAGAATTATTTAGTTTGCTTAAGGTGTTGGCAAAAATATTAAAATTTCCTATGGTACCAACTTTGTAAATAGCCCATTGCCTCACTAGCTATTGCTAAAACATTAAAAAAAAATTGTGCCATCCTATTAACCCTCCTTGGGAATCAGCTACAACTAAAATATTAAAAAATGTTTCTCACAGACAGCATTGGGAATAGTCGATTGCTCCACCAACTAAACTAATAGTTTCTTTTTTGTTACTTTATTGGTTTAAATTATTCTACTAAAATTTTGAAGAGTTTTTATGATTTATTATGAGCATATTTCGCATTTTAATAATTTTTTATTTTCTTTTTTTTGGTTTACATTGAAGTTTTATGCCTCGCTTTGCACAGGAATGCCTGATTACCCGATCACCATTTTATACATAATGCTCCAAAGAATGTGCATGAGTCCGTCTATGTACCTACATGTCCACGACATAAAACCCTAAAAAGTATCTGTAAGTGTAGCTTCAGATTGTCCATCCTTTTACCTTACTTGAATGAAATAATTTACTTCCAATTCATTTTAAACAAGATTCCACGTAAGAACATAAAACTTTTTTACCAGCTTTCAACCCAAAAAAAGGTACAGACATTGAAAATTCGGACTTTCCAACTCTACACATACAGAACCTGCAGAAACCCGGTTAAATTTCAAGTATATAAGCCTAAAAAGTTTAGTTTTAAAGTTAACGCTCACAAAGCATAACAAATCTTTCAATTGTAAAGAAGTAAAAAAGGAAGATTAAAGTCGACCAAAAATATTAAACTAAAATTCCAGAAGATCAAAACCCTAAAGTCAATCAACATCATCAATGATGAATTGGAAAATCAACAACTGGAAAAAATTTAATAACATAACTTCATAAAGAACGTATTTCTTTAATTACAAAAGTTGATAGGAGATAAAGATAGCAAAACCTAAAATCAATCAACTTCATTAATGACGAATTGGAAAACAAAAATATAACTTCAAACAAAACGTCAAAAGTGCGTCAATTACGAAAGTAGAGAGGAGAAAGAGAAATTAACCAGAACAGATGAAAGGGGACGCAAGTAAATCAAAACCCTAAAATCAACCTGTTAATATTTAAACAGTATTAACAAGAAGGAGAACACAAATTCAAAAGAATGTACCAACACAAACCGAACTCGTCAAGAATTCTTTAGAGCTCAGCAGAAAAAATTAAAATTACCAAAAGAACTTACAAAGAAGCACCAGATCTGCAAAGATCACACCGCGACTATTCTCGGATTTTTCCAATTCAAAGAAACAGGTGGGCCTATGTAAGGTTGAACACAGGCAGTTATATATGGAGAGCAAAAGATATGGGTTAGGTCTTCTAATCGGGCCGTGATTTGGAGATTGGAGGAGAGTTCGGTATACTTATGTGGTTTGATAACAGTGGATTTTACAAAAATACCCTTAAATAGGAGTGTTTTGAAAAATCAATTGAAAGATTTTTAGGAAATAAAAAATATTGTTTAAAATGAAAAAAGTGACACAATGTCATTTTTTATAAAAATTGTCAATTTTTCACTTTTTCAGAAAAGTAACATAAACTCAAAAAAAGTGACAAAAAAAATGAAAAAAAATTCAAAAAAGTGGAGAAAAAAAGTGACATGTTTGAGAATCATCATGCCTAATATGGAGTTATTGACACCTTAATCACCATATTGAAATTATGTAGTGTTCCAACAACAAATCATATCATGAGCCAATGTCATTTGCAAATAAACATTGCAAATATGCTAACGCTGCAATTTTCTAATATAATTTTTTTGTGGAACAACTATGCATTATTCTTACGTAAACAGTATGTATTATTCCTTTGTGTTCCCATTTGTAACTCACCTGAACTTAATGTCAGTAACTTCCCAAAATTGAACAAAGCCCAATACCCCTCATTGAGACAAATTATCAAACACTTCATACACATGTAACCTAACCATGAGTGATACTTTCAATTTCAACTGTGAAAATTCTAGAGGCTAAATAACAATTCAACCATCTTAGTTACAATGGAACAAATACATGCAAAAAAAGCAATACTAGCGTTTATCACCTTGTAAATTTAACTACTTTTTTTTCCATCAATGAGCACTTTCTTTGCATTTAATCACATTTATTGTTCAATACTGGTAATTTTCCCTTCTATAAAATTTTGACGACCAAAAGTTCAAGACATAACCTCAAATCCCAAGAAAAAGAAGAGATTTGTGGTTGCCTTCTACTTATTTTTGCAATTGTTTAGTGTTCGTCAAGGCAAAAACAACACAGTTGATGCCACTATGAGGACGGTGGACTTACAAAAATACCCTTAAATTTTGAAGTCGTTTGAAAAATCATATGAAAGATATTTTTAAAGTGAAAAATACTGTGTAAAATTATAAAAAAGTAACACAATATCACTTTAAAAAAAAAAGTGACGCAATCTTACGTTTTAAAGTTAAGTGTCAATTTTTCATATATGATATTACTTTTATTAAAAAGTAATGTTTTTTACTAAAAGAAGTTGTAGAAATTTTAAGAATGTAACATAAAGTAAAAATAAAAAATAAAAAAATAGTGACGAACATGAAAAAAAAAGTGACAACAATTAAAAAAAGTGACAAAGCACTAATTAAAACATTGAAATATGTTCAATAAAGTAACTAAACTTTTCATTTAAGTCAATTAAACCAACATTGTTGAGAGATTCTTAAATCTCAATTCTACACAGAGTCACTAAAAAAAGTGACAAAAAAGTCATTTTTTTAATAAAAATTGTGTCACTTTTTAATAAAAAAAAGTGAAACAATGTCACTTTTAAAAGTTAAGTGTCACTTTTTTATTAAAAAATGACATACAATATCACTTTTATTAAAATTTAATGTTTTCCACTAAAAATGTGATAAAAATCAAGAAGGTGACTGAAAAAAGTGATAAACATTAAAAAAAAGTGACAAAATTCAAAAAAGTGACGAATTTAAAAAAGTGGCACAAATTAAAAGAAGTCATACTGATTAAAAATTGATAGACATTCTCAGTCAAACATGCACAAATAACACCACTATAACAACCAAACTTCCTGCTGTGAACCAGCAGGGATGGAAAGGTTATAGACGGCAAATAGTCCGATATTTGTTCTTACACCCAAGTTGAAGATAAATAGAAGATAAGGTTTACTCCCCCAGAATCTTATACTAATTTAGCTTACAGAACGAGACAAATGCATCAACTGCTTCAACCATAAAGCACCATCTAGGATTATTGGCTCATGC